ATGCCTGTGTGGGTGTGTATGTATTTACATGCAAGAATATCCATAAAAACAACATGAAATGGCTCTTTTATACACACACACACACACACACATACATATATATATATATATATATATATAAGTCAATTAGTAAAATTAATCAACATAAAATGTTTGTTTTCAATAATGTTTGCCTTAAAATAAATAAAACTATATTAAAAAAAACCATTTTAAATAAACAAATTCAGTCCGTTAAGTGGCATACATGATACATGCTTGGTTGATCATGTCTCTTTCAATTCATGACTGAATCTGTTTAAATAAAAAGTAAAAATGGGGTGTCTATTTCAAGTAGATATATAATATAATATATATATAATAATGTTTGAAATAATAAAAATGTTGATTTAAAAATAAATCAATTCTTTAGAAACACATACTCACATGTATGTGTGTGTGTGTGTATATATATATATATATATATATATATATATAGTTGAAATTTGCTATATTTATTGGGGAATGGTGTATAGTATCATAGATCATTTATAAATATAGACAATATAGATATTGAAATCAACAGTGTATAGTGACTGTCAGTTTCACTGCTTAATGTGATCTTCAGGTATTTTGGGTCTGAAGATCACAATGAAGTATGAAACTGACAGTCATCATGCAAGTATTGATCCTTAGATTCATACTGTCTATATCTATCTCCCTCACTCTCTCTCCTAGTCTTTTTCTTATCTCTTTCACCTCTCCTCTCTCACACTCTCTATGCACACACACACACACACACACATGTATATATAAATAAAAAGAAAGAACAGTAAGATATTTTTTACTTTTACAAAATTAATTTATAATATATATATATATATATATATATATATATATATATATTTCTTTTTTTTTCTTTTTTTTTTAAAGTGTTTCACCCCAAGCAAAGCGGGAAGCCACTAGGACGCAAGTGGTTACAGATGATTTGGAGCAAGATCAGATAGGAGTGATAGAGGAAAGGATGTGGAGAAGGATAGTAGATAGATCAAGGCAACTGGAGATGTCAATTGACATTGCATTTGAATGGCTGGAGATTATAGCTCTCAGGGAAACTGGAATAGGGAAGGGGGTTCCACGGGCGAGAGGTGCGAGACACGAAGCTATTGGAGTAGAAGAGACGGCTACATTTAGTAGTTTCGACAGTGAAAGGGTGAGAGTGGGATGCCAGCCTCGTAGGGCGCTTGAACTCATGAAGTCTGGGAACCAGCGAATGCAACTCCTCAGAATATAATATATATATATATATATATATATATATATATATATAAATTAACAATAATCCATTCAACAAACTTACTCTTTTTTCACTTGTTTAAATAATTCGGTACAGTTTTCCAAAAATCTAATTAAAATAATTATTTTGACTTATTTTTTCATTCCGTTCGACTAATTTGCACTAATGTGAAATAGTAGATGACAGCACTGTAACATTGATGAAGTATTTATTAAAATATACTTTTAAACTTCATTATTCAAATTAAATGTTCCAGCTGATGTTAGGAGTTAACCATTAGCCAATGAGAATTTATTGAGGCATGTTTATTGCTCTCATGTGCTATGTTTCTACTCATTTTAGATAGGAGAAGTTTCTCAGCCCTGGGGATTCCATCCCTGTGGCAGCATCTCCCTCATTGCAGTAAGAGAAGTGGGATCAGTGTAATACTGATGCCAGCGTGATGGTGGTTGCAGGGGCTGGGCAAAACAACAGTTTTTGTCCCTGACCCATATGTATGTGTATGGTGCTCCCCACATTAAAACAAATTTGGGTCACATCCGACGTTAGTGGGGAACCCTGGTAAATATACCTTCACACTGACATGGAAGTTCAATTTTGGCTGAAATGGAGTAAACCATTCTCTTCATTTTAGATGGGAGAAGGCTCAGGTGATTCCAACCCTTTAGTAACACCTTCCTCATTGAACTAAAAAAGGTGGGTTCAGTGTAATATCGATGCCAGTGGTCGCGGAGACTGGACAATATGTCCTTGGTCCATATGCACACGTATGGGTATGGATCCCCATGTAAAAACAACCTTGTCTCACATTCTGCCTTAGTGGGAAAAATGGGTAAATATGCCTTCATATGTTAGCAGTATAATCTGGGTTGTTTTTTTATTTTCTTCTATTGATATAAGGTAGGGTACAATCAGACAAAATTTAACCCTATGGAAATTTATAAAAGATCAGATTCAAACATAGCTGAGTGTCATTGCCCTTTTGTTTTTTTAAATAAAATTTTCTATGACTTTTATAACTTTCAGAATGATTTCCTTTGTATCTTGAAAGTGACTGAAATTTCTGTAATTGTTTCGATAAGAGAACATATTGAGCAAATGAGACTTTAACTAGAAAGTTTCAAAATGTCTACGTGAAGGTACAATTGAAATTTAAGAAAGTTTCAAATTTGATCAAGCATTAGGAAAACATGACAAATATTGACTTTTATTTATATAAACCAGTTTACTCCTGATGTCCAAAGCAATGATACTTTAAAATATTTCTTTTTCCAATTATTGTCGACACTCCACTCTTTCAGGTGGTCAGTGTTTCCACCTCCCAGTATTGTAGATATTTTCCAACAGTTCACCAGTGATACTAAGATGCTGCTACACAGCATTGCAATTGCAAGGGAGATAACTCTCTGCAGAAAAAGCTATAGACATTACAGACAGAAAAATAAAACAAAAAACACTTGGTCTATTATATATACAGATTCCAAACCTCAACAAAAATTGATTTCTTGTTAATCTGATAAATCCAGTTGTCTATCAAAAAAGTTCTATTTTTTGTAACATTTTCCCTCTTATGCATAATGCAAGGAAAAGTTCATTTTGTTTTCCTTTTTTTTTTTTTCTATCTCCTAAGTTAAAGGAAAAATGTCCGGGCAGTGGGGAAAAGGTTTCTCATGCTTGTGAAATCTTTGGAAAAGAGTTGACATTTGGGCAAAGCACTTCTCCTTCCCGGACCCCCAAACTTTTTTCTCTTTTGCCTCAAACAATAATTTTGGACTTGTAATGCCATCTTTCGATACCAGAGTGCCTACTCCATAAGTATGGATAGCAAATGTCAAGAGGTCAACTACCAGTTTCGGTCCATTTTGTGTGAAACCTGTTCTGCCTTTATTTATAGGTTTATCAACAAAAACAGTCAATCAATCAAGAATACGCGTGTTGGAAATTCTGTTATTTTTTTTATTCAAGTTTAATGTTTTGGAAAAAAAAAAAAAAAAAATTATTAAAGTATTTTTTTTATTAATGAATAAGTTTGTAAAATACTTAAACTTGTCTGACCTTACAGGACACATCTGCCTGTATATTTTTTAAAGAAATTTTATATATTTAAAAAAAAAAAAAATGATCTAATGCTTATTAAATTTTAGTATTCAGTTATCTTGAACAGTTCATAAAATAAGGGAGCAGTTTTCATTTGTAAAATTTCAATATTTACATTTGCTATTAATAGAAGGAAATATTGAAAACAACTTTTTTTATTTATCATCTACTTAATTTTTACTAACATAAATAAAAGCAAATAAAAATAAGTTACATTTGGAAGTCTTCTTATGATTGAGAGATAAAATTAATATTTTTTTTTTTTTTTTTTGGTTCTCATGAGAAAAGAATTCTGAATGTAATGCTGAAAACTAGTCTCCAAGTTTAGATGTGAATCTGATAATAACCTTCTCTCATTTACTCCTCCACCTTCTCCTCCTCTTTGTTTATCAACAAAAGTAGCTTTTGAATTTTGCCCTTTCCCTTTCATTAACAAACATTGGTGACTCTTTTTATTAACTGTTCTGGGGGGGGGGGTGTAAAGGAGAACTTTGACACTTGGTTAGGAAAATTAAGGACAAAGTGGAAAATTTATTTCTTGTGTGATGCTTTTTGTTTTTTTGGAACTTTATTGGATTGAAGTAATGTTTCTTTTGATGTAACTACACATGCGCATGAAGGGGAGGGGGAATATAAAAATGGAAATGTTCATTATAATTATGCATAAACAGGAAATGCTGAAAAAGGTGGGACACTGTTGACATCCTTTCTACACAACGAATTCTTTCAATGTATGCATAAAATAAGCTTTGGAGTAGAGGTCTCTAAAAAATGAAAATATTTTTGATATATCCTTATATGTATAATAATATTTAATATAATAATAATAATTGCAGAGTAATTGGCCATAGTTAAGTGTAATTAACAAAGGTCTCAAGAAACAATCAGAAAAAGCAGAAAAAAACAGGGCAAAGTAATGCTAAACAAATAATATATATGCAAGTTAAAACTAGACAAAGCAACTTTAATCAGGTAAAAAGTTAAAGTAAAAATTATGCTCACATACAAAAGGGATACAGTCAAGTGGTTATAGTGTCCCGACTTCAAGACAAGAAAGAACAAAATTATAGGGGATGAGGCTGAGAATTCTCTCTTTTTTTTTTTTTTTCATTTAGGAAGAAATCCCAGCATGCATCTGTAGGATTTGTTTATAAATTTATGGAGGGAATATTCTCAGCAGTCATTCCTACAGATTGAAACCAACAGTAATATTAATATTATAGTGGAATAATAGGTTGTCTTTGAATGTGTACATGAAATAAACTTTAGAGTAAAATGAGTGAAAAATGAAAATAATTTTGATACACTAATATTATCAGCTCATTACATTAAAAATATTTTTTAAAAGAATTAAAAATATCTTTTTTTTTAAAATGTTAATTATCAGATCAGATGTGAATGTTTTTATCATTTATTTAACATCATGATTTTATTTATGAGATTTTTTTCTAAAATGGAAGGAAGGGCCTCCTTTTTATTTGTTTGCTTCATATTTGACCAACAACAAGAAAATACTAACTTTATACATTTACTGAATAAGTTTTCTATTCAGATAAAAGAAAATGCAATTTTAAAATGTTTTTTTTTTGTTTGTGAATGATTCCATTTGACTCATTATTGTTTATTTCAGCTGCTGGCCTTGTGGCAGACGAAATCACATGTTTGGGGATTGCCACTCAGCGAAACACTTTCATCACATGGGACAGGTGAGTTATACTGAATTATAACTGAATGGTTTTATGTTATTTGTGAAGATTTTACAAGAACAGACATGTTAATATCATTAACTTGAAGAAGACATAATTTGTAACGGCTGATGCAGGCTTAAACTTAAGAATGTAAACAAACATAAAAATGATTATTTATATTTGGACTACTGTCCTCACCTTTGTTGTTGTTAAAGAAGTCTGGAGGGCACAAGGACCAAAATGTGATAATGGCAACAAAGATGAGTATATTAGTCTGTAAATAATATGAATAATGACAACTCCTCATTCCAGAAATTCTGATAGAAACAGAAATACCATTTTTAATTATCAGATAAATTGAATAACTTCATTTTTTGATGAACTATGTCCTGTATTAGCATAGGATATGTGGATAGTAAAATGGTTATCTACACAGAAAGTGAAATTGGTGAAATGAGTTCAAACTCTAGTCAAATCTATTGCATTTACTTTCACACTAATACCTTTGGAAAAGGCATAACTCATAAAATACCCTTAGAAAAGGCATAAATCCTCCAGCTATGGCTTAAGTAGCAGGATAGAATGAGTTCTCTTGCCTTGAGTGGCAACCAGTCTAGGACAAGGAAAACTCTAAGTTCAAAACCAGCATGTAAAGGGGTGAGCTCCTGCAGGTTATCTAGCTCTTGAGATACCCACTGCTCCGATAGGGTTATGGGAATCTTGAAATGATGTGAGGATATAGTTACTCATTTTGTACCAAGTGATATTCCATTTTCTAAAGTATTTTAGTATATGTGATATACATGCTATTTTGCAGAATATGATAACTAAATTTTGATATTACAATTGAGAAAGTACTTCACCTGCATTTGATGTCATAAATTATATATATAATAATAATATTAGAGAACAATCAAATTTAATTGCCCTGACATTGTTGTTAGAGACCGCAAACAAAACAAGTACCTCCTTATTGATATGGCAGATCCTGCAGACTGCAATGTATCTTTGAAGATCTTCAAAAAACTATCAAAATACAAAGACCTTGAAATCAAAATCTCAAAAATGTGGCACATGGGAACATCAACACTCCCTGTTGTAGTTGGAGCCCTCAGGTTGGTTGGAAAAGATTCCAGTAGACTCATTGAGGTGATTTCTGGAAGCCCATGTCTTAAAGAAATACAAAAAATTGTTCCCACAAGTACAGCCCACACCTTACAAAGGGCTTTATCTATGTAAAATATGTCCGTTGTTTTTTTTTTTTTTTTAATTGGTTAGTGGAAAATGTGATGATGCCATTTCCAACCTCAGGTCTCTAAGTGAGATCTGGAAAGAAATGTGTACTCACCAGAAATCAAAGGAAATAATAATAATAATAAATTCAATAAAAATAGATTAATATAATATTACCTACCACCTCCTTAACTTATACTATTCAAAATAATTTATCTAATCTTAATATTAATTATAATTACATCCAAAACTATTATGGATATGATAAAAACCCAAAATGGCCATAGTAACAATAATCCTGAAGCAGACATATATAAAATAAACTGTCACAACTGTTCCTTGCAATATATTGGTGAAACATGCAGAAATTTAAAAATATGTTTTTATGAACATAAGAAAGATCTTCTGCGTAACAATTTATTCAATGCATTTGCACAGAAATAATTTCAACCAAAACTTTGATCACAAAAATATTGTCCTTATTAAGAGAGAAAATAAGTTAAGAGGAAAAGTTCTTGAAAATGCATTAATACTATCCCAAATATAAACATATGTACTGGATTTTTTTTTAAATATCTCTCTTCTTAAATGAAACACTCCTTACAGCCATAAAAACTATTAAAGGAAAATGTCTGGCTCATAGTTTAATAAAAATAAAGAAACAATAATAACAACAACAACAACATCATTAATTGACTTTCATTCAAACAACATACCAAAAATACACTGGCAAAAGCCTGGTGCCTGTTCTACATAGGAATGGAAGATGAAAATAATGCCACAATAGGAAACAAAAACACAAATGCTGCTTCCAATTTATTTGGTTACTTATTTACAGATTCCCTTTGGTTGGGTGTTGGGTTTTGAAGTTAGGTGACAATTGGGGCATTTTTACTGTTATTTCCATTTCTCATGGCACATTAATGGACCAAATCTTCCCATTGGCCAGTGAGAACTCTGACCACCCCTCTGCCCATCCCTCACTAAAAACTCCAGTTCTCATTCAGTCATCAAAATTAAGTGGTATAGAGCCCAGTCAGTACTTAGTTGGGTGACTGTATAGAAATGCCAGGCAAAGTAAGCAACCTCCTACAATCCCAAATATGTGTTGGCTTTAAATAACCCATAAAGAGCTGATAATTTTTTGTCTGAATAATGAGTTATGCTTATTTACATTCAGACTATTGTTCTCATATGTGTTGTTATGACAACATTTCAGCTGTTGTGCCACTGGCCTTCATCAGGTGTATGTTGAGCTACAGGATATTTTGAACAGTACCCTTTTTTATAATCTATGAGGGGAGACTGTTCTTGTTTTAATGCTCATGTTTTAGTACTGCTCGGTTATTGCTCACCCAATTTCCACTGAGTTCAAGTGCACACTGCTTGGCCCAGGGATTGAACTCACAATTACTATGTCACTAAATTCACAGACCAATGATTTAATCCTCTAGGCTATTGTCCTGTGGGGGTTACCCAGATTGACATACACCCAATGGAGGCTGAAGAGCACAACAACTGAAACATGATAACAACCATGTAACAGTCTGCATGTAAATATGGGTTGATAAGCTGTAAAAAATGAATGAATCAATCAACAATCTCTACATCTCCATCAATTATATGTCACCCACCAGCATAACTGACTGACCTTTATCACTCTGCCATTATAAGCCTCTGACTGGAATTTCCTAACTTCTGGCCAAATGGCATTTGATCCCAAAAGTTTTCATTTATTTATTTATTTGGTTCTCTTCCCTCCTACTTACTTGTGGACACAGTGGCTGACTGCTTCAATTATCTTTAATGTCTGTATAGCCATGAAATCCAGGCCAGATAAAAATCATTTAGGGCTGACTTGACTTTATATGTGTTCTAAGCTAGTTCAAGCATGGCTGTATTGTGTCACAGATACAAGCATAGTTAGGCAGTGGGTAACACATTTCAACAGTAGTAACAACAATGCAAGTGAAAAGACACATACTAGGAGGTCTTGTACAATTGTTAACACACAAAGAAAGATTGCCTTGAAGATGGATTGACAATAGTTGTGACTTGTTTTGTAGCTGAAAACTTGCTCTATCCAATGAGGTCATTGGGCTCTCTGTATCAGTTGAAGTTTCGATGGGGCATTACTTTTGGAGCAAAATACATACATAGCCAATGGTGGTGACTATATGGGAAATAGTGCTTTGTTGCTGAAAACTTGCTCCATCCATCAGTGCTATTGAGCGCTCTGCATCTGAAATACTAGAAAAAATAGCTAATGGTATTGACTATATGGAAAATAGTGTTTTGTAGCTGAAAAAAACTCTATGCAACAGTGTTTGTTTTTATTGTATTTCCAGTCCCCGTTGTAGAGCGACATTTTTGGAGCAAGAAGGCTTATCCAATTTTGTTGACTATATAAAGGGAAAATAGTGTTTTGTAACTGAAAATGTACTCTTTACAATTTCCACAGAATAAATAAGAGGTATTTTTAAATTTGGAGATTCCTTGTATGATTCAACATAATACATACTTCCACATAAACCTGTGTGTCTTGCTGAATTTTTTTCTTTTTTGCCTAGCCAAACATTCACACATGTCTATTAGTTTCATTTCTGTTTATATCACTATTAAAATAATTTAGTAAGTTTGTATTTCTATTTATGCTCTGTCTTAAAGATCTCATACAGAACTGTCTCTTTTAGCACTGTAGTTTTTTTTTTTTTTTTTAGGATGTTAATTAGAGCATCAAACAAGGCGTTATTGTGATTTATCTTTTTAGATGCCCTAGTAAATTAAAAGGATTTGAATAAAAAGCAATTCAGATGTTATTATAAGAAACACATATCCAAATCTTCAAAATCACTGGGAAGTTGTGTTTCAGTCATTTTTCTTCCTTTTCTGACCAAAGACACTCGATCATTTCATGAATTGTGAAATAAACAGAACTTCAGAAACAGGTACACTGAATGCTGAGAAATTTGGGAGTAAAAAAGATGGCAAATTACTTACTAATCAAAAGATCTTAAAAACTTTGCCTTGTTTAAAAAATGAAGAAAGAAAAAAATAAAATTACAGACCGGTCCTGTTAAACCCCAATCTTGTAAGAACTTTCCTTCTCAAAGATAATAACTTCTTTGTAATTTCTTTTTTTTTTTTTTTTTAATAAGCTCACCCTAAGCAAGGTGATATCACAACTAAGATGCAAACGGCTATTGGAAGTGAAAGAGAAGGAAAAGACTTTAGAACGAACCAGAAACTCAATAATGTTATGAATTTCAGATTTTAGACAGAGATGTTAGAAGTATAGAGGAAGTAGATTTTAGAAGGAACCAGAAACAATGGATAAACCTCTACTCCTGTTCAAAAGACTAGGGCAGAATGTGAACTGGACAATAGATGTGGTCCTGGGTAAGACGATAAACTACATCTGGCAGCAAGACCTCTGAACAGGAGGTTTTGAGGATTATGGAACCATCTCTTAATTGCTGTTGCTCCCAGGTCCACCCTGACCTGGGTTGGTAGTACCTGTTAGGGTCTCAGGTATGGGCAAATAGTTAACCCCCAAACTGGGATCCTGGTGGTCCTGGGTATGACGATAAGCTACATCCGGCATCGGGTAGGTGGAGCTCAACAGCCTGGGAAGGCAGTTCATCTAGGAGAAGGAAAAACCCTTATTTCAAACCTCCACTGCCTTGCAGCCATATCCAGCCATAGAAAAGGCTTCAGGAGTAAACCTTGAGAAAAAATCGAGAGACCCAACCCATTCTGGCAGTTCCTACAATAGCACCAGTCCCAAACTGTAGTGACCTGTCATTCCTTTGGCCTCAACAGTGACGTGAAAAATGGGGATGTGCTACATGGGCAACAGTCTGTCTTCCATATCACATCGCCCAGGCTGGCATCCGATCACACCACACCACACTGCACCTAAACACCCTGCACTATATCCGGAGAGGACACTTCAACTTCACCTTTGGCATCGACACAACATGGAGAACTTGCCAAATAGGCAACTAGGATGCTCCCCATGGTCAACCCTAACTGACAGAAGCCTCTGACAGGACAACAGATGAACCTATCTACTCCTATAAAATTATCAGAGCACTTTCAATGACTGATCAAAAATATTAGCAGTTCATCATGAAGAGTGATGAGAGTATTCAACATTTTTTTTTTATACAATTGTCCACCCAATACAAGCCCTAGGAGCCACTTAAGGTAGAGGGTTACTGAATAAGGTTGTAGTAAGAACATAAAAGGAGGAAGTAAAAATGGATATGATTGATTGATTCATTCATTTTTTATGACTGATCAACCTTTTGCAGGTTATTTAAAGCCACAAAATATTTTTTGATTGTAAGAATTTTTTTTTTTTATTTGGAGATAATAATTATTTAGTGATACAAGTTTTACTATTTAACTCATAGCTGGGAGAAGAGGGGGATTCATACCTTTCCCAAGGGCACCCACGCATAAGTGAATATAACAAACCGAACAGGAATTGGAACTCAGCTCTTCAATTAACAATTTCAGGACATTATCCATTATACTATCTGAACATCCAAGCTTACAGAACCTGGTAATTCCAAGTGGTCACCCATCTAGGTACTGACCAGGATTGACATTGCTTAACTTCAGTGGTTGTACAGAAACCAGTGTGTTAACGTGATGTGGCTGTAAGCCTTAAGAAGTGCATATCATGAGGATATGTAGGATAGATAATGGCTGACTTAAGAAGTTAAGATTGTTCACAAAGTGTCTTCCTCTTTACCAATGGAATACAATGAGGATGAGTTGACCCTGTGGCATGGTGGTATCTAGCTGTGAACATCTGGACTGGTAGAAGTAAGGAATGTTGTTTGTCTGAATATTTGCCATGAAAATAGCGATAGGGTAGAGAGAGTCTAGTAATGTTTTATCTGTGGTGAAAGGGGTTCTAGAATGGAGAATAAGCCATCACTGACAATTATAATTAATATATTTATATTGATTGAGTCATCAAATATGGATCAGAATCTGACAGAAAGATATAGGATAAAGAACAAATAACAAACGTTTATAAATTTAACATGTTTCACTTTTATGAAAGCTTCATCAGAGAATGAGATAAGGAAAAAAATTTCTGGTATTTTTATTTTTTGTGTTGTTTGATTTTCTCTGCTTAAACTGACTTTGCATGCATTTGACTAGTCTAGCAGCATGTGTGTGCATCATTTATGTGTGTAAGTGTATCATAATTCTAGTTTGCCTATGTGAGATTTGAATGATAATGTATGTATGTGCATGAATTAACACTGAAAATAATGCCTCCTATTTATAGGCACTGGGAATACAACAATATCAATGACCTCATTGGATAGAGCAAGGTTTCAGCTACAAAACACTACTTTCTGTATCGTCACCACCATTGGCTATGTATGTATTTTTACTCCAAAAGTAATGCTCCATAAAAACTACAACAGATACAGAGAGCCCAATGACCTTGTTTTTTTTATTTTCCTCCATTATTTGAAATATCTCTTGTTCCTTTGTGTTTGTATACAGTACTCTTGTACTGCACAAATATTCCAACCAAAGCCTTCGGGCTCAGAGATGAAGTAAAAGGGACCTAACACTCTGGGGTGGATGTATAGTATTGCACTTTCAAGAAATCAGTGGATATATTTAAGTTTCTTGTATATTTTTATGATTTTGTGTTTTTTCCTGCTGTCTTATTTTGATTTCTGATTTATTAATCTTTTAAGACATTTGTGGCTTTTACATCTGCTGTTTGCATTAAATTCTAAAATCATTTCTTGGTTTCTTATAAATATTATATTGAATATTAAATTGTTTAGAATTTATTATATTTATAGGCAAAGAGTGCTCAGTATCAATGATAGAGATTTGTAGATATAAACAGTGTGGACATAGAAATCAACACTATATTGTGACTGTCATTCTTCATGCCTTAAGTAGTCATCAGGCCATGTGTTACTCCTCTTTGTATGGGTTCTATATAGAGGCTACTATATGCTTATGGTAAATGTAGAAACTGGTTTGTTCCTGTCTTTTAGTTTATTTATAGGCTTAAGCTTGAGTTTGTTTCATTTTTATCTGAATTTCTGGGATGAGGCATTATCATTATTTGCACTATTTGTATTCAGACTGTTGTCCTCATCTTTGTTGTTGTTATCATAATGTTTTGACCTTCCTCAGGTGTGTATTGATCTGGGTTGCCTACAGGGATTTCTGAACTGAATCTACATGGGTAGACTGTTCTCATTCTACTGCTCATATCTAGGGATATTGCCTAGTTTTTATTTTATTTAGTACTGTTCAGTTATTGCTTGCCCTTTTCCACTGAGTGCAAGTACGCACTGCCTGACCAGTTGAACTCACAACCATTATTTCACCAAATTCACAAACCAACACTTTTATCCACTAAGCCATTGTCCCATAGTAAACTTAAAGTCTTAAACTTAACCTGGCTGCTGATTAATTTGCAACTGCTGCTGCTGGCTGTCATGTTTTGACTGCTGCTAATTTATTTTATTTATCATATTTCATTATATTTTACCTTTTTATTCTTTTTGTAAAATTTCTTTGGTTGCATATTTTGGTATTAGAAATAAAATTTATTAGATTTAAGTTATGTGCTATTAGTTGTTTAGTTTTTTGAGTCATGACGTGAGCTTAGGTAGTGTAGTAGGAACTTGTTTTTTAGTCTAAATATATATTTATATAATATATTAAAACTGTGGACTATAAATTTTCTCTGGTTACATTTGTTTTCTTCTTTACAACTTCTGTTAGTTTTATTTTTTGAGTGATTTTGTCAAAATGAATTTAATTTATATATATTGTTTTTAAATGTCTCTTTTTTTCTAGGGAAACTGGGGTACCATTCCATAATTTCATCACGTGGCAAGATTTAAGAGGGAAAGAATATGTCAAAGACTGGAATCATTCATATACCATGAAGGTAAGGTGATGATAAAAAGCTGACACAAATCATTGTTGCGTTGTTATTAAACCAATTTTCTTGGCTTCATCTCATATATGAAATTAATAAAAAATGAATTTTAAGTCCCAAAGATTTTTTCAAAAACAACCCATCTGGGGTGAAAATTGGATTTACCTACAGTATTGGGTTGGAACAAAAGTTCATCATGATTTTTAAGAGAATTTCTGATACAACATTTAGATATTTGTTCATAGATTTATTCAATGATGTATGTGCCATTTCTTTCCACTGAATTCTGCCATCTTTGATGCAATTTCATGATTCTATCCTCCCAGAATTTGTCATCTTTCTGGGTGATGATCTGGACTAAGTGATTTTTACAGGCCTCCAAAGAATTGATGTTTTTCCCATTAAGAGAATTTTGTAGAGATTGAAATCAGTGGTAAACGATATGTCTTTTTTGCTGTTTGTCCAGTGTTTGTTTTTCCTTTCCTGAAATAAAAGAACATCAAATGAGGAAAATGCATTTCATTTCTCACCATTTTCACTTTTAATGTAAAAACATTTAAAATTCACAAGCAACACAATGTAGAAAAGCATGTTGAAATGTCACCTTTCATATATATATGTATATCTGTCATAAATTTCAAGCACATGTGAAACAAAATCATGTGTTCAAATGCTGTCTATTGAAAAAAGCTACAAACTAAGCTCATTTTGAAGATCAATGAATTTTGAGATGAAGAAATCTACAGTTCATATCACTGTTATTTGATTTGTTTTTTATGGTTTATCAACCTTTTGCAGGTTATTTAAATCCAGAAACTCTTTTTAGATTGTAAGAAATTTTTTGAAGATAATAATGATTTACTGATACAAATCCTACTGATTAACCCATAGCCAGAGGAGAAGAGGTAGATTCATACCTTTCTCAGGGTATTTGCACATAAATGTATATAACAAACCCAACTGGAATTGTAACTTGACTCACTGATTTCCAATTCTGAGCTGTTATCCATTCCACCACTTGGACATCCAAGCTTACAGCACCTGGTATTCCCAAGCGGTCACCCATCAAGATACTGACCAGGCTTGACATTGCTTAACTTTAGTGATCGTATGAGAATCAGTTTCAATGTGATATGGTCATAAGCCTCAAATCTTGGTGAACTGCATACTAACAAGTAGAAAGTTTATCAAAGTTTGGTATTTGTTGAATATATTTTAAAACTAGGAGGCATGGTGGAGTAATGGATGGCGACTCGGACTGAGGAATCTGAGAGCCGAGTTCAAATTCCAGTCAAATCCATTACATTCACTTATGTGCTAATACTCTTGGGAAATGTATGAATCCACCTCTTCTGCCCCCAGCTATGGATAAATAGCAGGACAGACCGGGTTCTATAGCCTTGGATGGCAATTGGTCTGCCACAGAAAGAAATGGCTTGTCAGTTATGTATCGAAAAATACATGATTGCCTAAGCGTGTATCACACATGGCACATAACTGATTGATTTTAAATCTTTAAAGTGTTTATTTTAAAAGAAACAAATTTGATGATTTCTGATGAAGTGTTTCATAAAATTACTAAAAATTTGAGTACTATAATGCTGCTACAGCAACTAGATCTCATGCTATGAAGGCATTGAGCCCACAAGTGCTGCCTTGTCCCTCCAGCGCACATGGTCTTAAACGTCAGGAACAACCCCCAGCACTAGATTAATCTGCTGGCAGTTCTGGTTAATGATGTCCTTCCAAGAATTGCATGGTCTGCTGCAAAGTTGTCCCCAGTCAGCAAATGACGGGTTGAACTGCTAGTTGACTGTGTCAGCTGTATACAACCACTTCCTAAGATCAATGGTGAAAAAAGGATTTGAGTGAGTAAAGTCTGGGGATTTTGCTTCTTTAAACCTGGTGGAACAGATGCTACAGAAGCACAAAGAACAGTACCAAATAGCAGAAACCATGTCATTTGAGAACTTTCAACAGCAGCAATAGCTAAAATGCATAGCACATATAACCCAAAGAGAAAATACTGACAAAAACAAGATGTTAACATGCCAAACCACTTCAAATAGAAGGTTCAGAGAGAAAACCCCCATCAATACTGGAAAGAGCAATAACAGCTACAGGACAGGAGAAACCTATTTTTCTTTTTTTTTTAAAAAAAAAAAGAAAAAAAAAAGCATTTTAAGAGAAAGATTTTATAAATTTTAACCAAAAACCATACTAGCTGCTTGGTTAGTGAATAGTAAATTTTTCCTTATAGGGAAAGGGTTAATATTACCATTATAAGCTGATGAAATATTTTTTTATAAGGACCATTTAAAATATTTTTTTTTATATAAAATTGTCATTCATAGATTAGGATCATGAATACAGTCGTTTTTTGTTGTTGTTATTTGGTAATAATTGAATTAAATTTTTGCAATATTATGCTTTTTGTCATTTTGCAGGCTTTAAACACAGGTGCAAAATTATTACATACTTTCACAAGAAGTCCTCGGCATTTAGCTGCTAGCGTACTTCGATTTCTATCTCCTCAGGTAATTATACATTTTATGACTTGAACTTTAATTTCTTTCGTTGTACCAATATCTCTGATTTATATATTCTTTGTTTGAACAACTGGCACCACATAAGTAAATTAAAAAAAAATTTGCTTGCTTTGAAAATCATCATTTAAAATTCTAGCTTGAACCTGGGTTTGAACACTGACCACTGGTGCCAGTGAAAAATACACAACTGACTTGGCCACCACACAGACCACACATTTGACATTGTGTCTGTGTGTTTGGCAATTTACTAAGGGTAGCTTAAATGTGGCACAAGGCCAAAAGTATGGAGTGCCTAGTGAGGATCAAGCTCTCAACTCAGTCATAATCGATCTAGCAAGACAAGCTTGTTAACCATTACACCATGCTGGCTAATATAAGTTTTCCTTTTCTCTTTATTCGTATTGTCCTTTTACAGATATACTTTTAGTTATTATTTTAGTTAATTTAAAAAATTTTACACATATGTATGTATGTAAAATTAAGAATTTTAATATTTTGTTTCAAATTTTTCTCTGCTGATGTTGGGACCATAGTATAAAATGGGTGCTAAAAAAATTTTGGCCTGACTGACTTCCCAAAATCTGACCAAATCTTTTGGGATAACCAGATCCTGGATGGGTCAAGAATTTTTCTTCAGCATGTCCTCACAGAGAAACTTGCTTTATTGTATCTTTTGTTTCTTCAACCCCCCCCCTCTCTGCTTCATTTTGTCTCAATCTGAGCTGAGTGTCTATTGTTCTTGGAACAATAGATGATGATTACAATGGTAAAAACTATTTTGTCTAACTGTTCCCATGCAGACAATTACCAAATGTCACTGTGTTTGTGTTACAGGTCACCATGCGCTTGAAATGGCTGCTGAATCACAATGAAGAGGTATGTCTGTCGTATTTCACTTATTTTCATTATTTACACAACCTTGTAATTGCGGTTTAGTTTCCTTTTAAGAGACAACAACTGTCCCACCAAAAACAATGTCTGGCATAATGTCTGTAAGCACTTATTTCCTCTACAGCACTCATGCACTGTATTAAGAATTTATCATCTTTTCATTGTAATGGAAAATAAAAATATTTTTTAGCAGTAACCAAAAAACATTCATATATAATTCTTCAGTGAATGTAGTCAACTCTTTTTTTTTCTTTTTTTAAATCATTTCACCTCAAGCAAGGCAATAATGCCACTAAGATGCAAGTGGTTCCTGGGAGTGAAAAAGAAGACGACTTTAGTAAGGAGAAAGGACAATAAAAGAACAGGTTTTCAGGAAGAAAGAAGATGCCAATTGATGTATTTAAACTTTTGAAAAATGTAGGTGACATGGAAGCAAAAAATTGCCATGAAAATATTTATAGAAAAAGTATATATAGAAGCCATGTTACGGCGATGGCTGAAGTCAAGATGCCAGGTCAGGATTGATAACATTACAGATTCTTTGAATTTTGTTGAGAAACTTGAAATATGTAGTAGGGGTACCAGGCCAGATATGACGGATGAATGGTAGATTTATAAATGTGCAAGATGGATTCTGATGAGAAAAATTGTCTGGTACGACACAGTGAACCAACCTTCTTAGCAGTAGACCTAGAAATTGGATCAATATAACCAGCAAGAACATGCAATGAATTACTCTCCTAGAGATTAGCATCGGCCATCCTGATGGAAGGCACAAATGGTTCTCTATTGTGATTAAAAGATAGATTTTTTTTTTTGTTTGAAGGCATTCAAATTTACAAGCTATTTCTTGCCCCAGTTAACAACTGATTACATTCATTTTCAAGAGCACCTATTCCAAATAATAATAATCTTCATTTATTCCACTTCTGAGAAGTCTGACCTTAGCCCCCTCCCAATGTAGAGTTATTGCTTAGGGAGATGCGGCCTCTGGGAATTAACTTAAAGAACAAAACATATGTGACGCAATTCATGGCATAATTGTGACAATGTTCTCTGATCCTCTCTCGTTCACTGTACCTATGATGACATCCAATGTTGATTGTATTTGCATATACACTCAACTCGCTATACACATAGGTTTGTCTTCTCGGCGATAATCGAATTCAACAAATAATACTAGTGACGACAAATGCTTTTAAAGACGCTGGTTGGGTGTTCACAGCAATACAATTTCTCAGCTGGCTATTCTTCCCTTCGGCTGAACTGTTATCTCCCTAACTTCACTGGCCTCTGGGCTTGGTGACTCCTGATTCCTCACTACTGGTCCTTCTGTCACTGGCTGCCGGGCAGCTCCAACTCCTCTGGTCACCTACCTACTTCTCTCATGGCTGGACCCACTTTTCCCCAACTTCCTGCCTCTCTCTGCTTATATAGATAATCCTCGGGTCCCCCCCCCCATCCGCAAGTGTTGAAACCACCCCAAAACCACATGCGTAGTCAAATCTTCAAAGGACTAGTTTTATGACTATCTAAAATCATTGATAAAATTTTTATGTTTCCCAATTCAAAGGCAGCTGTAGACATAAATCCCCCCAAAATACTGACACTTAAATTTACTCAAAGATGAATTGGAAACAAAATTTCTATGAAACTCAGATAACTAAGTGGACTTAATAAGCAAGGAATTTATCTCCTTGTTACACATGTAACATGATTTTTCATGTATTTTTTGTTTTTTTTTTCAGTTTGTCTATATTTTTTTTAATCATTTCATCCCAAACAAGGCAATAAAGCCACTAAGATGCAAGCAGTTACTGAGCGTGAGATAATGAGAAAAAGTAGGAAATTATTAAGTTGGAAGAAAAATAAAAGAACTAAACAATTATCACTGTCCATTTTCTCTGGCAAAACAAACTATCCAGAAGGTGGCTAAGACTAAGTCATAATATTGCCCCACGGTTGTCCACCGGAAGTATATGTAGGGGGACACCTATACATGCACAACATGGCACTTCAGTTACCCTGATATGTTACAATTGACAAGAATGGTCTCTCCAAGCGTTACCAAAGAGTTTGGGCTCCTTAATAAGAGTTGGGTTGCAGCAATCAAAAAGATGCCAACCTGGTTCCCTCACAATAATGAAAAGTCACAACTACTGATCAATCAGATCATCCAAAAAGTTAAGACACTGAAATTATTAAGGCCATGGAAGAAAGAAAAGAATTGGTAAACTATATCCTAAATAAGAAACCAGGAATAAACCTTTACTCCTGTTTAGTAAATATGGAAGGAGTACTGGCCAGGTGATAGGCAAACCTATCTATACCTATTAATCCATTCACAATACAAAAGACTGGGTGCTTTTATTGAGATGTCATCTCTAAGAAGGTTGCCAAATAAGGCTACCTATTATTAGTCTGATGTCTGATATATAAATTTGTATATCATTGTATACTGTCACTAACACACATAATGAAATTTATATATTTGATAAATTTTTTTTTTTTTTTTTTTTTTTTTTTTCTGGTTAAGCTGAAAGAAAGGCTCCATTATGGCCAAGTATTGTTTGGATGCATGGACACATGGATCATGTGGAAATTAACTGGTGGTAAAGTTCATGCAACTGATTATTCGTGTGCAAGTTCAACTGGATTATTTGATCCATTTCAGGTGAGATTCTTTTAATTAATATTATAATTTTTAGGTAAATTAATGAGGTTGCTCTTTGGAATGGTATACAGAATTCATGGTGGATGTTTCAAAACAAATTTTATTCTGTGAGAGACAAGGCTAAATGTTAACTTAGTATGTTATTAATATTTATGTGCAAAAAAAAGGTGGGACATCTTATATGTTGTCAAATGGGTTAATTTTTTCTTTTTCATCCCTAAGTGGCATAAGTAAATATATTGAATCTCATCTGGTATTAACCTCATATCCTTTTGGTGTCAGTTTTAACTGAAGCCTTCTTAGTTTCCAAATATCTTGACTATAATTACAAACTATAATTTTGATAAGTAAAACAATTGACTTATATATATATATATATATATATATATATATATATATATATATATATATATTGGAAAATACAAACTTTAAGCAAAATGGTTACAATATATGGGGGGAAAAAGGTGGTGTCCATTTCAACTGCTGCCAGGAATGTTTGGGTCAATGAATATATTGTAATTCAAATCAGTGAAAAGGTTTTGATGAATCACTTAAGAGGGCGTGGATCAAGAGATTAAAGTTTGTGCATTGTCATTAATATATTGTGAGTCAAGCAGCATTGACATGTTTTTGTTTTTTTTTATATTTTAATCATTTCACCCCAAGCAAGGCAATAAAGCCACTAAGATGTAAGAGGTTACTGAATGTGAAAGAATATGAGAAAAAGAAAACATTAAACAGAGAGAACAATAAGAGAACAGGAATTAAGAAGACAACAGATAACAATTGACATTGCTTTTTCTACTAAATAATGTTGATCTAATAGTAATAAGCATAGTAATAGACAATAATATGTAATATATATATAGTAATAAGTCAAGTAATAAACAATAATAGGATCATGTCAGAATTCTTTGATTTTAATGCTCTTCCAAACATTTATCGAACATTTCTGGGTTTTTGTAAAGAACTTTGAAAAAAAAATGCTTAAAAATATTTAAATATAACTTTGGAAATCATTTGTTGTATTTTTTATCATCTTAAAATCTTTTGGAGACATGTTTTTTTTTGTTTCACTGCAAGTAAGGTGATAAAGCCATTAAGATGCAAGGAGTTACTGAGAATGAAATAAACAGAGAGGAACAATATAAGAAGAGGATTTAAGGAGACAGAAGATGGCAGTTGACATTTAATTTAAATTTTGAAAGTTCAGAGTTGACAGGAAAGTAGGAAGAAAGTTCTACAAGTGATAATTGTAGAAGAAAAATCTATTAGCATAGTGGATGTCCAATACTAATTCTTGAAGGTATGGTGTAGAAAATAGCAATAAAATATTCAATGCTTTCCTAGCTCTTGAAGGAGATTCTTCTTGAATGGAAATCCCAAACTGATCAATGGACACCTCTTTATGTTTAATTTGTAAGCCACAATTGGCAGATATAGTGACCAGCTCCCCTTATTCTGTTAAGGAACTTAGCATCAAGTTTAAAATATCAAATGACAAATATTAGCTTAGACATGGAAGCCATGTGTTTGGTGTCTCTAGCTTTTTAAAAATAAAGATTTTTCTTTTAAATGTAAAAATTCATAAATTACTATTCTGTTAACTTGGGGTGCACCTGACTACTTTTTAGTGCACATTGGTTGAGAAACATTGGTATATATATATATATATATATATATATACACACACATACACACATACTGTATTTTGCTACTTCTAAGACATCCTGATGGTTAAGACCCCCTAAATTTAGAAGGAAGATATCAGAAAAAAAAATTTTTCTTTGTATTTCATAGCTCAATAGTGGGAGGGCACAACCCCCAATTTTGTTTTCTGTCAATATTACAGTATCCCAACTGTTTCTCAAAACGTTAATTTCATTTTGAAACACTGGACTTGTTTTACTTTCAAGGGCTCAGAGTTGGATATAAATAGGGAGCTGATCCACACTCCAAAATAATAACTCTCATGAACGACCTTTGATTTATAGGACACAGGGTAGATTTTGGAGATATTTTATCGGAAAAAAATTCTCTTATAAGCAGGAAAATAGAATATATATATATATATATATATATATATATATATCTTTATTCAAATATGTTACATTGAATAATATAGTAATATAGACATATTGTGTCTATTTATTTTTATACTGATTCTTTCCAATTGTCGAATGAGTTTCTTGATGTTGAGATGAAATTCATCAAGGAAGGTGTAGTTTTTTTTTTTAACCCAAGTACTTTTGACCTTTTCCAAGATCATCTTCAGGAGTAAATTACAAAGAAAAACATGCTATTGTAACATAAAATCTGCATTCTGTTGTCATAGTGATTTTTTAAAAGGAAAGGATCAGTAAAAAAAATAAGTAGACACAATATGTCTATGTTATTCAATGAAATATCTAATGCTACAGACCTTGCAATTATACTCCATTTGTTCTTTTTATATATATATATATATATATATATATATATATATTACCTTTTATTATTAGAGAATTTAGAGGATTTTTTTTAAAGTATCAGGAGAGATTCATATGATTCTGCTTGATTTTGGTAACTCAAACTTTTAGCCCAATGCATTGATTCTTGCATATTGCCATAAATAATGTAGGGAAAGTCCAGTTAATGGAGAGCTGTTTGAGAATATGAAAATATGCAACCAAAAGTTTGGCAAACTTGATATGTTTGTCAACAAAATTCTTGAACTAAAAATCATCATCATAAGTAAGCAAGCAATTACAATTTTTACATTAATTTTTTATATTACATTTAAGGCACCAAGTTCAAGATTAAGGATTGTCCCACAGGACAATAAGCTAGTGAATTAAAATATTGGTTTGTGATTTTGTGAGTTCAATCCCTGGACCAGATTCAAACTCAGTGGAAACAGAACTAACAATAACTGAGATATCCCTAAAGATGAACAGCAGAACAAAGAACGGTCTACTCTCATAAAACCTGAAGAAGGCTGGAGAGCACAATGGTCAAAATTTTGTGACAATAACAACAAAAATGAGGACATTAGTCCAAATATAAATAGAAGTAATCATAATATTAGAAACAGGTCCTTTGCAAAATTGCCTGTTTATGAGAAATTTTTGCCATCAGTAAATAATTGATGTGTTTTTGTGACACAACTGAATCAGCCTATTGGTGATTAGAAACAAAAAAAAAAACTGTAAAATATAATAAAGAGTTGCTGTTTGTAGAAAGAACTGTTAAAGCTTTGCTTGCAGTTTTCTTCTCTTATCTGGTAAATAGGGTCCATATTATTACTTCCTCTTCTGTTCCTACAGTTTATCTGTTGCACACTCATTCTTTGCATTCCAATTCTTCCTGAAAAACCAATCCCTATGAAAAGCAGACATTTCTTTAAATTTAGCAGAATATTTACTCTTTCTACTGACTGACTCTACATCTAATGTCTTTTTTTTGTTTGTTTGTTTCTTGCTTTGGGGAAAAGATGTGAGGAGACACAAATGTCTAGGAAGACTATCTCATCAATCTTAAGAGTAAAATAGATTTTATCCTGGTAGAATTTGGTTTTCTCTTCTCACAATTTCATTTCTCTCTCTGTCATCCAAGATAGATCAACCATAGGGTAGGGTGAAGTTTTTTTTTTTCTTGCTGGATTTTTGTGTTTCAATTAATCACCCAATTTGTGAAAAAGAAATATGGGTAATGTTTAAACTTTGTGCCCACAAAAAGAAAAAAAAAATGATATGCAAAAAGGATGGTTATTCCCTTGACACTGCTATTATTGTACCCACTTTTGACTCCCTCGTCAATGTTTTTTTACAAGGTTATAAAAATATGTGAACAAAATACAATATGATATTTATTATCTAACTTTTATAAAAATTTATTATTTACCATTTTATAATAAAAATAAATTTGAAAAGAAATCTTTTTATTCAAAAATTTATAAAAAAAAAATTACAAAATTATCAAAATATGTCAGAGGAAGAGATTCTCTCAACCTATTTTAGTGACTTTCTATGGTCAGTTATGGCATACTCTATTTAATGGAGGCACAGTAGGCAGATCTCATCAATGCTATTTTCCTACCAACACTAACATACCAGTGCCAGACATGGCTCCTAAGAAAAGTTCTAGAGAGGAAACTGATGCCCAAGGAAAGCAGTAAACAAGACCAGGCAAGACAAGATTAGGAATGAAGCAATAAGAGGAGATATGGTAGGAAAATATCAATCATACAACGCATCAAACGACAGAGGATCAAGTGGTTCAGACATCTCACTTGTATGACTGTCAACCAACCATCCCTATGAGCATACACCCTCAGGTACTCTGGCTGGAGAGTGAGAGGCAGACCAAGAAGATGCTGGAGTGACTCAGTGGCAGACATTCTCAGAGCCCACAAGATACCTCTCCTCCAGGCCACTCGCCTTGCTGCTGACAGATGACTGTCTCTCCCTGCAACGCCTAACAGCACAAGCAGAAGGAAAAACTAACTAAATGGTAGAATAATGGATTATGGCTCCAATTGAGGAATCAGAGAGCCAAGTTCAAATTCCAGTCGAGTTCATTACATTCACTTACGTGCTAATACCCTTGGGAAAGGCATGAATCCAACTCTCCCTATTCCCAGCTATGGGTAAATAGTAGGAAAGACTGGGTTTTAAATCCTTAGGTGGCAACCAATTTAGGAGAAGGAAAACTCTGAATTCAAAACTGTATGTAGCCCTGGCAAAGCACATACTATGCAACTAAAGGAAAAGAGCGTTTGCATTGACTCGATCCTGATTATGGTCAATTCCTATGGCATACTTGGTTTAAGTTTGCATTTACTTACATAATTCTTTGTTTCTGATGAGCCATAATCCTATATACTCTACCATTGAATAAATGTATTACTATTGCAGCTTGTATAAGGAGGTGCTGAAAAGTTCTTGGCCTGATGAAGAAGGCATTAAAAATCTGTTTGGTCAGATTTGCGGATGTTTGTCAGGCTAAAAACATTTCATAATCCTCACCTTGTATAAAGAATTTAGAAAAAAATTGGAAAATAAATGAAGAAAATTATACATTATTATCCAAATACTACATAGACGAACTAGAATTATGATACACTTACATACATAAAGAAATATTTACATTTTTCAGTTAGGCTTTAAATCCGTTAATTTTTTTGAGCTTCGAAAGGACATGTCATCTCAGAACCCCATAAATTATACTAACACTACTTAACAAGTCAAATGCATGTGAAGCCTGATTAATCAATGAAAATCAAACCACACAAAAATAAAAGTGAAGCATATTAGATTGATAAACATTTCTTATTTATTCTTTATCCTATCATTCTGTTAGATTCTTGATCCAAATTCAGACATATATACCTCTACAATTTATTTTTTTTAATGACTTTTTATATTTATCTACAAGCAGACATATTTAGATTCTCATTCAACTAGAAATTATGTTTAATCAGCAAAGATGGTTATACACATCATTGGTAGAGATAAGGTTATTTTGAAGAGAAAAGTGTCTATTTTGTTTTTGTCATAAGAAACATGGATGATAGTTAATGTTTTTTTCTTTCCAGATGGAATGGAGTGCCGTGGTATGTAAGCTGCTGGATATTCCAATGTCAATATTCCCAGAGATCAAAGATACAAGGTAGTATCATGATGTTTGTGCAATCAATAAAATGATTCAACATTATCTAGCATTTTTTAAGGTTTTAATTTATTTTAATATTTTGATGAAAAAGGTATATATTTAAGATTTAAAAAACTTGTTTATGATTTTAAATATTTTTGAATGATTTGCTTAACACATCTAAAAACATAAATTCTTGTTAAACTCTTTAACATTTAACCCGCCCTGTAAATATTGGCTTTCATTGTTCAACCCACCATAACTGATGCCTCATGTATACACTGCCATAATATATGATGACATCATCTCAAATAACGCACAAAGTCACGCAAACAGTGAGACTTTGGCCACAAATATTTACAGGGCAAGTTTGAATGTGTTGAATGCTGAAGGGTTCAGGAAGTGTGTGTTCTTTCAAAATTGGATCTTCATCAGTTAATTCAGAATCAGAATGTTCTGATTGGTTAATTCTGAATTAACCAATCATAACATTGGTTTCATCCTGATGTTGATTAGCTCATTCTGAATGGATTGCTATTTGAAAATTTGATTTGTATAACACTCTTTTTCTTTGTTTCCTAAATTTTTCTCTTTTTTTCTTTTATTTAATAAAGATAAAATGTATAAGTTCTTTTTAGAGCTGAACCTTTTATGTTTCTGAATAATGGATATTTATAGGTAATTTAGAAAAAGAAAGCTACATTAGGACCTTAATACCTGCAGAATTAATAATTTCATTGACTCATGCTCCACCCAATCAGTAAAACATTCATTAAATTATTGGGTTGGCCAAAAAGTTAGTTCATTTTTTTTAAATATGTTATTTATTCAGTTGATGATATCATTGCCATTTTGTTCTTGCTGTTAATCTCAGTTGGCTGTACAGAGTGAGGTGCATCTTGAACCAAAAGATTTCCTTGAAAGATATCTTGAAAACCACTTCTGGCACCCATGTTCCATAACAGCATCCTCTCTGTACACAGTGCATATCTCCCTGCAGGTTTTTACTGCTTTCTTGCCTTTTTTTAAAATAAAAAAGCATGTGATGTTGATAATATTTGTTTGGTTCATTCTTTTCAGGGTGATCAGAAGCATACAAAATTCAACCTGTCTCTTTGCAATTTCCCATTGAAGTGTCAAGTATTGAATTAGTGTACATGTGCAAAGGACAGACTGAATTTACTTATGTCACAACATCATATGATTAAATATTTGGCTAAAAATGTTGTTTGGCAACCATGGTCCTTGTTCTGTATTAGGCGGTCATTTTTGTTACTATGTTAGTCTCCACTGCTGTTTTCAGGACAATATACCAAAGTTGCACTGTCTCTTACTGAAAATCAAATCGGCTGTCTTTTCACTAAGAGAAAGTATTTTTGTAGTAAGAAATACCACAACTCGTATAGTCTGTATTGACTACTTTTATTGTCCCCAACAGGAAACTTTTGCTAACAATTTGTCACTGATGTAGACAAAGGAGTGAGAGAAACTTCCAGCAATTTCAGACATACATACTTACAAAAGCAAAAATATTTACAATTCTCACTGAAACATTTTGGAGGTGGGGAAAATTTTTTTTTTACCAGAAAATCTCATCTTCTCACTAATTGTGATTTGTTTATTCATAAGCCAATGAAATGGCACCCAAGCCTGCTGTATCCAGCTTCTTTTTTTTCTTTCTATAGGATGGATTTCAGAAATAGGATGTATTTCTAACAACCTGTTTCACCCTTTATTAGTTATATCCTTTTCATTCTTTTCCTAATACATAATTTATTCTCATCTACTTCACTCATACGCTATCTTGCTATGTTTCAAAGGAGTAAAATATAAATAGAAGAAACAAACATACATGTAGCATGTCATTAATAATAATATTTTTAATATTTTAATTTTAATATTTTAATAATATAAAAATTGTATTTTTAATTTTAATATTTAAATAATAGAATAATAGTGTTTTTAAAATATAGAAAATTAATCACTTTGTTGGTGGATTTGAGGACATCTAAAGAAAAACCTGAAATTGATTAAAAAAAAAAAAAAAAAATTAAAAAAGTTTTTCATTGTCTATTGCAATATCTTTGTTTAATTCAGTTTTTCTGTTGGTTTACTGAGAAGTCAAATATATTTTGGAGGAGGGTTTGTGACACCTCTGTCATCAAATGGGCTTACAATGTGTCAGATATCATGAAATTAAAGTAAATAACCTTTGACTTTATGACAGTCCAATTCTACATTATAATTAATGATTTTTTTCTTGAGATAAATTTTTGGACTCTTTTCTTTCTAGTAAAAACAAGAGTCTGTCTATATTTCTGAGATGAAGTATTATTTTTAAAATCTCATGATTTTATTTACACTATTTACATTGTTTGGACAGTTGTTTTAATCTTCACTGCCATATTCACAATGTTTCGAAAATTGTATGCTTTGGCTTTCTTCAGGTGATTGAAATTTCAAACTGAACCCTTATTTCATCCACTAGGATGCTTCTTCTTCTAGGTTTATCAGTATCAGTTATCTCCCTTTAACTCAACTCTTCAAGTTTTTGTTCACCTCAACTGTAGCCAGGTATTGAACTCACAATTCTTTGAGTCAAGTCACTGGATTCAGTCAACGCTTTTATCCTTGAGGACATCAATGTATGAATTTTTGAAACTTATAAACCTAATGTCTCAATAACCATTTTTTACCAGAGCTCATATTACAGTTTTGTTGTTATTATTGTTTTTTTCTAGCACTCTGTATTATTTGTTCTCATATTGTAATCCTTTCTATGCTTGGCTGGCTGAGGAAAATTTTGTGGCCTAGCATATGTGCTGAATCCTTAAGTTTTCGTATTTTCCAGTGATGTTCTTTGTCGATTATTTCATCATTGACCCACAGCAGGCAGTGATCTCCCCTTAATGCCCTTCATATATGGCCAGCTATGCCTGATTCTTCTATTTCTCTTTGTGTTATGGCTTTATGTTGTTCATGCAGTCTTATCTTAAGGAGACAGCCTACTTCTCCTTTATATTTCTTACAACAGCTGCATGGGATGGCGTACACACAGTCCTTAGTCATGTTCTCCTTTATTGGGGTGGGGTGTTACTCAAAAGAGGTGTCTGAAGTGTTGAACCACTTTTGAAAGTCGTCCTGATGTTATATGGACCTCAAGGACACATGACCCAGTGGATAAAAATGTTGACTGAATCCAGTGACTTGACTCAAAGAGTTGTGAGTTCAATACCTGGGTACAGCTGAAGTGAACAAAAACTTTGAGGGTTGAGAAAAGGAGATAACTGATACTGAGGCATCCGGAAGAGGCATGGCACGTGGAACTAGAACAGTCTACCCCAGTAGACTAAATAAAGGGTTCAATTTGAAATTTTCTTCACTCAGAATGAATGTGTAAACCTGAAAGATCATAGACTTAATGCACACTGTTTAATGAATAAAAATCGGATATCTATTTCAAATACCAAGTATAATAATGTCTAAAGTAATAAAAATTTCTGATTAAAAATAAATTCATTAATTTTTTAGAAATTGTATAGTTTACATTTTGGGTACAAAATTGAGTAGTTATGGGTTTTTGAGAAAAATATAATCTGGGTGGTGTCCTTTCCTTAAAAAAAAAGGGAAAATATAACCTTGCTTACTGTGACATTCTTTGTGGCCAACTGGTAAAGTGTGTCAGGTCAAATGGTGGTTTTCCCTAGAAACGGGGACGCAGGTTCGATCCCTGCCAGAGAAGATATTTTGTTCATTAAGATTTCTTGGATGTGAATGCACAGACTAATACACATGGCTTAATAAATAAAAAATAGTGTATCTGTTTCAAATAAACAGTGTCTAATATAATAAAAAAAAAAAGGCTGATTAAAAATAAATCCTTTAATTCTTTAGAAATTGCATTGTTTTAATGTGTATACAACCATTTGTGATTGTCTAGAAAAGACAAGGACAACTTTGTAAGCCAATCTAATTCTGCTGATCTTTAAACAGGAATGTTATTGCCATCTTAAGTGAAGAGATTGTGAATGCACTTGTGAATTTTTAACATGACTAAAGTACTTCTCCAAACAGGAATTTCTTCCATATAATTTCTTTTCTTAAAATAAACTGACTTTGTAAACTTATTTCTGTGGACCTCTTCAACTTTGAATAAAATAAATTTCTTTATTTTTTCAGTGGGTTTTTTGGAACATGTGATCCTAAAATTGTAGGTGCTGCCATCCCAATAACTGCAGTTGTAAGTGACTTCATTAAATCCTCATTTATTTTTGTTTTTTTTGATGTTGTTCATTTGTGTTTCCACAAGAAAGCACATGAGTAAACATTAATTTTAAATTAAATTTAGCAAATATTTAAAAAAAAAAAAAAAAACTTTCTAATATTGATATGATCTAAATTTAGAATCCAGAAGATGAGAGAGAGAGAGGAAAAAAAAAGATGGGGGTGGGGCCAAACTAAAAACGAAGGGCATTTATAAGAGAACCGATGTGTAATCAAGAAAATTTGAGAAAGCAAGTAATATCACCTACAGGTTACAAGTTTAACATAAACATATAAAAATTAATGAATATTTAATCTATTAAGGACCTACTATTTATATGCCCAAAAACACATATGCAGATATACACGTACACAACAACATATCTATATTTACTCACACATACATACATATACGTGTGCACACACACACACACACACACACACACACACACATATATATATATATATATACACACACATACACTCATGCATACAGATGCAGATATACACATATGTGCGCATAAACATATATACATAAAATCTTACACACATCCATACATCACTCCCACACATACACTTTCACTAAAATTTTATTTTTTATACCTGGAGTTATATTTTCTGATTTCTTTTTGAATTTGTAGGTCTGATGAATTGAACTATGATTACGATTTCCATGTAATAAGTTATAACCATGGAGTATTAGTGTTTTAGGCTTTTTATTTTATATATATATATATAATAAAAGGTCTTAAACACTAGTATTCCATGGTCATGTATGAGTCCAATTCGTCAGACCTACAAATTCAAAAAGCTTTTTGAATTTGTAGGTCTGATGAATTGGATCGTATTTACGATTCCAATGGAATAAATTATGACCATGGAATATTAGTGTTTAAGCCTTTTTATTATATCCTTACTCTGTACTGGACATTGAGTTCTACCTGGATTCTATCGTCTTGGAATTTTTTTTATTCAAAAAAATATATATGTATGTGTATGCATGTATATATATATATTTATATATTTTGCATATGTATGTGTATATTTACCACTAATATTATCTATCTATCTATATATATATATATATATATAAAATATGTGTGTGTGTGTGTGCAGATTTGTTGAACTATTATATAGACATGATTATCAAGAATACTAGGATATAGAACCACAATTATTTTTGCACTAACTTAATTTTTTTTCTTAATTGGATTTACTCCAAGCAAGGCAGCAAAGCCACTAAGACACAAGGAGGTTACTGGATGTGGAAGAATTAGAAAGCAGTAACATTACTAAGGAGCAAAAACAATAGAAGAGTAATCAGGAAGACAGTAAATAACAATATAAATTGCATTTAAATTTTTGAAGATTAAAGTTAACTGGAAAACATGAAACCAGAAGAGTTCCACAAGTGAGAAGTACAAAAGAGGAAACTCTTAGCACAGAAGTTACAGTTGCATCTAGCAGACAATTCAACTGTAAATTGATGAGACCTTGTTGCCAATCTAGCACTGTGCTTAAATTCATAAAGTCTAGGTACCATAGTGAAGAGCTCATCTGAACAATTACCATGAAAGTATTTATAGAAAACACACAGAGGTGGGGTAACTTTACAGCAGTGGGAAGTGACTGAAGCCAAGATTCTAGGTCAAGACTAATAATATTGCTGATTCTTTGGATTTCATCAAGAATCTCCAAATGTATAGCAGGAGCCTGTATCCAAATGGCAGTGTAATTTCTTATTCTTACATTGTTTGTCTTCAATCAACATAGATATTTTCAAATGTGGATAATCTGAGATTATCAAATTAAACCTGAATGAGTCAATATGACTAAAATGTATTCATTTTTGTTTACCAGGTAGCAGATCAACAAAGTGCTATGTTTGGTGATTGCTGTTTTAGTGTAGGTGATGTCAAGTGTACAATGGGATCAGGTACCTTTATTGATCTCAATACGGGGGACATACCACATGCTTCAATCGCAGGTAAATAAATAATAAAAATTAATAATCCTTTTTATTTAAATTCATTATTTCTTATTATTTCACATAGATTTAAACCTGCTGCATTTTATGCTTTTTTTTTTTTGTTAAAACAGTAAATTTCTTTACATGATTTCCAGTTAGTTTGCAGCCATGGTAAACATATTTGGAAATGATATGTGGAATTTGATGAAAATAAAATTACTGTATTTACCACCAAATAAGGCACACATTTTTCAAAAGAAACTCTGATTTTGTGTTTGGGTTAACCTTCGAGTAGAAGAAGACTTTATTCGTACTACACTAACAACTAATCTCTGCTGTTTGATTATTAGTCTTTTGATCAGTGATTGATATATATATATATATATATATATATATATAAATATATTAAATAAAAACAGACCACTTTAAGGTTCCATGTAATAAATTATTTCACCACAGCCCTTTTAAAAGGACTGCGGATCATCAGACTTTACTTCCAAACAAAAAATGAAAAGAAAATTTATACATTTTTGACGAGCTGTATTAAACATATGAAAATTAACGAAGTGAGGGGGGAGAGAGAAGACATGAGTGAGTTTGCAGATATTGACACATTTAAATGGCATTGAGCTCTCTGGATTTTATCCTCCTTAGGTTTACCCATACGGATTACCTAGTTTTTCATAAACTATATATATATATAATCATTTATTTGAAAATTATAACATAAAAATGTTATAAAATCACTACAAAAATAGCCATTTTGTTTGAACACTCCTGGTGTCTTATAAAGTGATGGTGTTTCAACACCATATATATATATATATATATATATATATATAGGTAATAATCCATTGGTATAATCCAGCAGGGCGAGTCCTATTAACACAACATAGAATTTGAAATATGTTAAAACTGATTCACAAAAGAGAGCTTAATGTTTATTTACATTAAACAGAGGAAATTTTCTTTACAATTGGAATTTAGATACCTTTAGTTAATGACCATTTTCACCTATGAATTTTAATTTTAAAATTCACAGGATTTTTCAAATTGTTTATGATATCAGTGGGATGCTGTTTTCCCTTATGAGGTGATTGGTCAATTTGAAACTTTTAAAACTCTTTATTCTACATTCAACTCCATCAATTGATAAGACACCAGAAGTGTTGAAACAAAATGGCTATTTTTGTAGTGATTTTATAACATATTTATGTTAGAATTTTCGAATAAATTATATATATATATATATATATATATATATATATAGTGTATTGGGGCAGCAGATCATTATTTAAACATATATTATTAAATATAACAGACAATGAATGTGTATTATATTTGATCATGAGTCATTCTAATGTTTGAATATTTGCTTTAATTTCTGGTGAAAATAAAGACAAAAATTGTCCAATACTTGGATATTTTTTTTATTAAGTTGGTCCTAAGCTTTCGGCTCATATGAGCCATCTTCAGACTGGTTATACAGACATGAAACAAAGATATCCACCACCAAAGATGAAATTTTGTTATTTTGACATTAACAGTCACAAAATAGCAGACACAGATCTTAAGTTCAAGATGTGGTTCTATGACGTTATACCACGCAATAGACTGAAGTATTACAAAAGAAGCAATGTCTAGATGCAATGCAATGTAATGTGTTGTGACTAGTTTGAAATGTAATTTTGTTGAGTGTGGGTTGAAAATATAAAAAAAGAATGACGAGAGAAAATCTAAATCTCTACAAACTTTATCTTGTGATCAAAACTGTTTTAATTTTAAACATGCTGATTCACAAAGAACAAATATGGCTGACATCTCAAATCTCTTTTGTAAACAATTGTTGTCAACATGGGCCTACTTTGTGGTTTATTATCTATTGGGTTAACTGATTGTATTTGCAATCTTGCTGTTTCAAATAAGAGGTTTTTTTAAACTGGATAATTTCTGAAAACGTGTACCTGTGTATAATACGACCCCTTGCTTTTTTGCCTTTAATTTATGTTCAAAATTTCTTATCCTATGCACAAGAAAATACAGTAAATATTGCTTGCCAAATTGTGAGTTATATGAAGAGGAATGTGATATATAAAAATGAGCCAGTAAAAGCTTTGACTGAAACTATTTTTATCATATTGAACAGTAACAATATATTTTTCTTTTTTCTTCTTTACAAAGAGGCATGTTCAGACATGAGGCCATTTTTCTATCAGTTTTTCTCCTCCCCAAAAAAGGGGAGATAAACTGACTCCAATTTCAGTTCAACTGAAGAGTGATAATTGATAAATTTTAGTCACAGGTTTATTACTTAATTGTATGTTAGAAATGAATTCATACAAAAAAAAAAAAAATTTAACCTTCGTGCTTACAAAAAAAATGGAGTGGAAAGGATGGTTTTTCCCTTGACACTGCTATTATTCCAACTAACTTCATTTATCAGCAATGTTTATTGTTTTAAAAAGTGATGATTAGAATTTTAATAAAATCTAAATGTGAAAGTGAATTTACACATTTACTTTGTTCTTGAGAAATAATCACAAAAATAATAAACACTATTGTTTATTAGAATGCTTGGCAAAACATCAGTTAATTGCTAATCAATCTGAACTTCATAAAATGATAAATAAGAAGGATTTCCATATAGTTGATTAACGTATTTTAATAATTTAGTAAATGAAATAAATGTAAAAAATTTTTTATTCATAAATTTATAAAATTTATGACTAAAAAATTGTTTTTATATTTATTCCTTTATAAATAAATTGGTAAATGATAAATATTGTATTGCATTTGCTATTAATTTTTAGAATGTTACTATTCTTGTAAATAAACAGTCTAATAATGTTTAATATTTTTGTTGTAAATTCTCAAGAACAAAAAATGTATGAATTCACTTTCATCATTTGTTTAAGTTTCATTACAATTCTAATTGTTGCTTTTTAAAGCAATAAACATTGAAGAGTGAAGGTAGTTAAAATAATAGCGGTGTCAATAGAAAACTGTCCTTTTGACACATACATTTATTTATTTTTGTTTTGTGGGCATGAAGCTTAAATATTTCCATAAAAACAATATAAGTAAAGAAATCTTTTCTCAATTCATCACCAAATGTATGACATTTCTGCAACAATGCATTTTAATTGAATTTTTAACATTTTGAATTTTTTTCCCGTCAGGATTATATCCTTTGGTTGGCTGGAAAATTGGTTCTGAATTGGTGTATATTGCTGAAGGTGTCGCTTCTGATACAGGACGAGTATTAGAGTGGGCCCAGAATTTGAGTAAGTACAATTGACTTCAATGAACTCGGTTTTCAATTAACCTTTTCCCAATGTCTCAAAATATTTAGGGCCTTTTGTTGTTTGTTTTTTGTTTTAAACTTTCCATGCATGGTTTCTCTTCAATTTACTATGTATTGATTGATTGATTTAGTCATTTTTTTTATGACTAATCAATCTTTTCCAGGTTATTTAAACCCAGAGAATATTTTTGGATTTTAAGAATTTTTTTCTTGGAGATAATAATGATTTACTGATACAATTTCTATTAATTAACCCATGGCTGGGGGGAAGAACAGGTGGATTCATATGGTATTTGTGCATAAGTAATGAACATGACTGGAATTGTAATTTTGAGCCATTATCCATTACACCACCCACACATCCAAGCTTACAGCACCTGGGTATTCACAAACTGTCACCCATCTAGGTACTGACCAGACTCAATGTTGTTTAACTTCAATGATTGTACAGTAAGAATTGTTTTATTTCTTTATGCAGTGTTAATTTGTTTTTCAAATAAATGTTTTCTAATTTATAATATTAATTAATAAAAATAATTTTTTTCTTAAAACAAGATTCTTTTGTCTTTCATGTAAAACTTCAACTTAAAAATACTTATTAATATTTTTTTTTCTTTAAAGTACTTTAAACTGACTTACTGTGTCTTTCAAATAAATGCATTTCTACAGTACTTTAAAATATTAAATAATAAAAATTAATTGTATATTTTTCTTTAAAAGCCTTTTTTTTTTAATTTTAAATATTATTTTGGGTTAATATACTATGCAGCCCAATAAAATTGTGAATTTTTTAATGTGGCCCTTACACTGAAAAGTTAGGCCATCCTTGCATTATTAGAGTTTGTTTCTTTGAGATCTTAACAAGTTTCTAATGATGACTTGGGCCACCAGTGGCTTACATGAAACTAAAATGTGCAATATGACCAAGATGAAAATAAAATGCTTTCTTTTGCATTCAGCTGTTGTCCAAGAAAAGCTAATTACATTGGCTGAGGAAGCAGATAAGGGAAAATTAATAATCAAAAAAGACTCTTTTTATGAAACTGTTTTTTGAAGAAATGGAAAATTGAAACTGCAGTTCAGAGATTAATTAGAGGTTAATATATTTAATACCACTGGTCTAACCAAATGGGTTTTGATATGTGCTTTTTGCTTCTGACTATCCTTATTCAATCACTTAATATTTAATGGATTTTTAGGCCTTGTAAATTCTTGCATCTCTTTCTGCAGATGCATGTTTTTTAAAGATCAAGAAGCTGGAAGAGAGTTACACAAGTGAGAAGTGTGAGAAAAGAAACTTAGAATAAAAATGAGTTATAATTTCTGTGATATAATGAGGAAAGATAGTTTAGCAAATTCAACACTCACAGGATAAACATGGTGTAACCTATCTAACAAGCTTGTGCAAATGGGTGGCTGAACAGAGACCGGGAGTGATAGTGAGGGGGCAAACATGGGTTAGAGCAAAAAAGAATAAGAAGTTGTGGAGAGCCATGATCGCCTGAAGGACATGGAACATAAAAGAAGTAAAATCACAGTATCTACTAGATATCTGCATGGCCGCAACTGCAAATGCATGTCTGGGTAAATATTTTTAAAAAGATACTAATTAAAATTTAAAATATATTAAACATTGTAATTTAGAAAAAAAATTTACTAAATATTTTTAAAAATGTTAATTATTTAGAAATGGATAGAAAGTTTACACCAACTAAAAACAAATATCAAGAATAGTAATATTAGCCATTTCTTTGTAAGGAAACATTAAACATTCATTGATTAGGTAGCCAGCACCGCTGGTGGTTGAAACCTACAAGATTTTTCTCTTAAAAATAATTTTTCAGGAAATGAGGTTTCTCAAATCTACCAGTAGTTACCACTTTATCCAAATTTACCATAAGGCGGACAAATGTTGTTAAAGCTGCATATAAATAAATAAAAAATTGTAATATATAAAGGAAGGAAGGAAGGATTAGCATTTGTGGTGTCCATGATGGATATTCACAAATACATAATTCATACAGAGAAATCTGAATAATGGCTTCCTTTATTTCTATTTGAAGTTAAGTGATGTCAACCTCATGATAAATGGATATGTACACATGTACACAAACAAAATGGTTTGCTGCAAAATGAACATTGAAGATACAAATCTCAATGCGATAACCAGTCCTCCAAGGCTGGCCGTTCAAATCTTGTAAATAGACATTTTCATTAAAGTCAATATTGCTGCATACAGGAAAGAAACTCAAGTGGGAATCAATGAGCAAACTCAAAATTGTCGCCGAGGAAAATGCCAAGTAAATGGTGTGTTTGACAACCAATCAGATTCAAGTGCAGAGAAAACAAAGCAAATTTTGAAGGAAAGATACTTCATTATTCACTTACGGAGGATATAATGATTGGATGTGAATTTTTGTTTTTAAATTTCATTTTAGCCAATTTCCTTAATTCACTTAACAACCATTTTTTTTAATTCTTTGTTTATTTTGATAATTAATATAATGTTGAGATTAGATTTTTAATGGAAAATTTATAAAATAATTTAAGTATAAAAATAAATCCTGAATATAAAACCACTTATGACTTATTTTTTGTTCTTTCCATTCTTAGATAACTTCAGTTTTTTTTTTTTTGTGGGGAGAGGGGGTGATTTTCAAAGTGTATATGCAAACTAGATTAGCCAGAAACCCCAAATATATTTTCTATGAAAAAAAAAAAAGAAAAAAGGAGGCTATATTTTTCAATTTGTAATAAAAATCATTCATTATCTACAGTTCTGAAGGTGCGTTGGAATAGCCAAAGATGCTTTCTAAAAGCTAAGCAGAGTATTAAGAAACAGAAAAATTTCATCAGAAACAAAGAAAAGAGTACTGAACTGTTACATAATATCAGTCTTCCTATATGGCAGTGAATGCTGGACAATCTCCTCACAGATGAAGAAGAGACTTGAAGCAACAGAAACAAAGAAAAGAGTACTGAACTGTTACGTAATATCAGTCCTCCTATATGGCAGTGAATGCTGGACAATCTCCTCACAGATGAAGAAGAGACTTGAAGCAAGAGAAACAAAGAAAAGAGTACTGAACTGTTACGTAATATCAGTCCTCCTATATGGCAGTGAATGCTGGACAATCTCCTCACAGATGAAGAAGAGACTTGAAGCAACAGAAACAAAGAAAAGAGTACTGAACTGTTACGTAATATCAATCCTCCTATATGGCAGTGAATGCTGGACAATCTCCTCACAGATGAAGAAGAGACTTGAAGCAACAGAAACAAAGAAAAGAGTACTGAACTGTTACGTAATATCAGTCCTCCTATATGGCAGTGAATGCTGGACAATCTCCTCACAGATGAAGAAGAGACTTGAAACAACAGAAACAAAGAAAAGAGTACTGAACTGTTACGTAATATCAGTCCTCCTATATGGCAGTGAATGCTGGACAATCTCCCTCACAGATGAAGAAGAGACTTGAAGCAACAGAAACAAAGAAAAGATACTGAACTGTTCGTAATATCAGTCCTCCTATATGGCAGTGAATGCTGGACAATTCCTCACAGATGAAGAAGAGACTTGAAAACAGAAACAAAGAAAAGAGTACTGAACTGTAACACGTAATATCAATCCTCCTATATGGCAGTGAATGCTGGACAATTTCTCACAGATGAAGAAGAGATTGAAGCAACAGAGGGAAAGAAAAGAAACTGAACTGTTCGTAATATCAATCCTCCTATATGGCAGTGAATGCTGGAAAATCTCCTCACAGATCAAGAGTTTGAAGCAACAGAAACAAAAGAAAAGTACTGAACTGTTACGTAATATCAGTCCTCCTATATGGCAGTGAATGCTGGACAATCTCCTCACAGATGAAGAAGAGACTTGAAGCAACAGAAACAAAAGAAAAAGTACTGAAATAATATCAGTCCTCCTATATGGCAGTGAATGCTGGACAATCTCCTCACAGATGAAGAAGAGACTTGAAGCAACAGAAACAAAGAAAAGAGTCCTCCTATATGGAAGTGAATGCTGGACAATCTCCTCACAGATGAAGAAGAGACTTGAAGCAAGAGAAACAAAGAAAAGAGTACTGAACTGTTACGTAATATCAGTCCTCCTATATGGCAGTGAATGCTGGACAATCTCCTCACAGATGAATGAAGACTTGGCACATCAGAAACAAAGAAAATGACTGAAAAGACAAGATCAGTCCTCCTATATGGCATGAATGCTGGACAATCTCCCACAGATGAAGAAGAGACTTGATGCAGAAACAAAAGAAAAGAGTACTGAACTGTTACGTAATATCAGTCCTCCTATATGGCATGAATGGACAATTTCACAGATGAAGAAGAGACTTGACAAAGAAACAAAGAAAAACTGTGGGGTATCGTGAATATCAATCCTCATATAAATGGATGCTGGACAATCTCCTCACAGATGAAAAGAACTTGGCAACAGAAACAAAGAAAAGAGTAATGAACAAAAGTAACATCAATCCTCCTATATGGGGGAATGCTGGACAATCTCCTCACAGATGAAGAAAACTTGGCAACAGAAACAAAGAAAAGAGTACTGAATGTTACGAATATCAGTCCTCCTATATGGCAGTGAAGACAATCTGACAGATGAAGAAGAGACTTGAAGCAACAGAAACAAAGAAAAGGTACTGAACTGTTACGTAATATCAGTCCTCCTATATGGCAGTGAATGCTGGACAATCTCCTCACAGATGAAGAAGAGACTTGAAGTAACGGAAATGAACATGTGATCAACAATGTAGTTTTAGAGAAAATGTAAACAAAAAGGAAACTTATACTTAACATCATAGAGAAATTTCTAGAGCACATAATGAGGAAAAAGGCTTAGAAAATTTAATACACAGAGGACAGATTGAAGGCAAGAGGGACAGATTTTTAAAAAATGCATAATCTACCTAGTAAGCTTGAGTAAATGAATGGCACATCAAGGTTTAGGAGAGAATGACAAAAAGACAAGAAACTGTGGGGTATCAGGCCAACCCACATATAAATGGATGCAGCTTGAGTAAATGAATGGCACATCAAGGTTTAGGAGAGAATGACAAAAGACAAGAAACTGTGGGGTATCAGGCCAACCCACATATAAATGGATGCAGCTTGAGTAAATGAATGGCACATCAAGGTTTAGGAGAGAATGACAAAAGACAAGAAACTGTGGGGTATCAGGCCAACCCACATATAAATGGATGCAGCTTGAGTAAATGAATGGCACATCAAGGTTAGGGAGAGAATGACAAAAGACAAGAAACTGTGGGGTATCAGGCCAACCCACATATAAATGGATGCAGCTTGAGTAAATGAATGGCACATCAAGGTTTAGGAGAGAATGACAAAAGACAAGAAACTGTGGGGTATCAGGCCAACCCACATATAAATGGATGCAGCTTGAGTAAATGAATGGCACATCAAGGTTTAGGAGAGAATGACAAAAAGACAAGAAACTGTGGGGTATCAGGCCAACCCACATATAAATGGATGCAGCTTGAGTAAATGAATGGCACATCAAGGTTTAGGAGAGAATGACAAAAAGACAAGAAACTGTGGGGTATCAGGCCAACCCACATATAAATGGATGCAGCTTGAGTAAATGAATGGCACATCAAGGTTTAGGAGAGAATGACAAAAGACAAGAAACTGTGGGGTATCAGGCCAACCCACATATAAATGGATGCAGCTTGAGTAAATGAATGGCACATCAAGGTTTAGGAGAGAATGACAAAAGACAAGAAACTGGGGGGTATCAGGCCAACCCACATATAAATGGATGCAGCTTGAGTAAATGAATGGCACATCAAGGTTTAGGAGAGAATGACAAAAAGACAAGAAACTGTGGGGTATCAGGCCAACCCACATATAAATGGATGCAGCTTGAGTAAATGAATGGCACATCAAGGTTTAGGAGAGAATGACAAAAAGACAAGAAACTGTGGGGTATCAGGCCAACCCACATATAAATGGATGCAACAAATGGAAAAAGAGAAGAATTTGCTGTCATTCTTATTTTGTGCTATTTCTGCCTTCAACAAATTGGGAACTCACATGACATTTCTGATATCTTTTTAAGAATTTAAACTATTGTGAGCATTTTCTTTAGCTCAGTACATCCCCACAAGTAGACCCAGGTTGCTGGTAAGGTGCAGGTGTTTTTATTGAGTCACCATCTCAAGATAGAAGCTCTTCAGCCTCGGTTGACAGTCTTAGCTGAAGACTTGTGACATACCAGCCTAACCAATGACAGTTTCATTTACCAAATTTCACTTACAAATCTTGGGTCAACCTCAAATCAACCATACAAATCCCAATGGTGCTACACCAGGACGATATTATCAAGGAGTCACCTAATTGACTAATCAATCATGGTAAGATTTGAACCAAGGTGGCTTACGTCAATATCACGTTGAAATACTGGTTGTCATATGATTACTGAAGTTGAGCAATTTCGAGCCTTGTCAGTACCTAGGTGGGTGACCGCTTAGCTGTGCATGTGGTGTAATGGAAATTTGAGTTCCAGTTCCAGTCATGTTTGTCATATTCACTTCCTTACAAATCCTCTTAGGAAAGGTATGAAGCCATCTCTTCTCCCCCCAGCTATGGGTTAATTAGTATAACATTTATCAGTAAGTCATTATCATCTCCAAAAAAATTCTTACAATTTAAAAATATTTTCTGGCTTTAAATAACCAGCAAAAAGTTGACAAGGTGGCAAAAGACAAATCAATCAATCAATTGAACCCTGGTGTCGGGATTTGAACACTAACATTCTAACCACTGCAAATCATCAAAATATTTCCACATTGTTGATGTCGCAACCTTGAAATAATTGCATAGATTATCAATCAAGGCTGGAGATCTTCCATCTGCCCCTTAGGTGAGGACTTATGACTTTGTGCTAGCATAACGTTTGGCTGCTTCCAAACAGTTTCACTTAACCAGTTTTATTCATAAGGCTTGGGCCAGCCTATGCTATGATTTTCAGACACTTCCCAGTAGTGCTGCACCAGGACAATATTATCAAGAATTCCCCTGCTTGACTAATCGACAATGGTGAGATTTGAACCTGGGTCTCATGGTCAGAATGCTAATCCTCTATTTGGCCACATGCCCATTCAGTTGCTGTAAGAATAATTGATTTTATTATTCAGTTCTATCATAAAAGCAAAAGTACAATAGAGATTAGTTGAATATTACATAATAAACAAATAGTTATTTGCTTTTAGCTTTTTTATATATATGTGGGGTGCTGAAGAGTTCTTGGCTTGACCCCATTTCTGAAATTTGACTAGATAAGTAAACTTAATTATCAGAAAAGCTTGGTTTTCTATGACTTTTATAAAGATAGAGCATAGCAGCAGGAGTTAGGTATGTTTACTTGAGCGCTACAATGAACCGAGCATTCTTGCAGCATCTTTTGTAATAACACAAATATATGCATTCCATTTATAATCAGGACGGAACTTTACCTCCTGTAGGTATTTGAGGCAAAAAAAAAAAAATCTCTTTGAGGGTATGACCACTCATCAGGATTGGGATAGGTTTAGAATGTCAAGGGCCATGACCCCCCCACTACGTCCTGAAGGAACATGGCAAATAAAAGAATAATAATACAAAGGACAAATACAAAAGAAAAAGTAAACATTGTTTTTTTTTTTTTAATTTACTGATAGTTCACCCAATACAAGGCCCAAGAGCCACTCAAGGTAGAGGAGTGGGTGAGTGAGATTGTAAGGGTGGGGAGAAGTAAAAGAGTATTATAAAGACAAGTAGGATAGATATTGGTTGGCCAAAATTGTACTTGTTAGGGAAACATTCTCTTGGGAGTTTGTTCCATGAAGTAATAGTTCTGGAGAAGAAGCTGTCTGAGTGAAACTTGTTTTTTTATCAAAAAAGCACAGGGGATCGTTTTCCACCATGAACATAACATGGATGGTCCTAGCTGTGAAGGCCTGGGCTGGCAGCACTGAGGCATGTAACATGTCCGAACATCTGCCACGCTAATAGTGATATAGTAGTGAAAGGCTGGCAACATTTTGCCTGTTGGATAAGTGTTACGGGACCTTACCCATAATAACATAATGGACTATTCCATATGTAATAAATACTGCACCTCAAGAGGAAGCAGGGAGTTCAGGCTGAAGTCTGGAGTGAAGTCTGTCAGGAGTCTGTCAGAGTGAGCAAGTCAGTCAGTCGAGGCAGAGGCAGTCCGAAACAGAGTTGCGTTCAGACAATTACTACTGTTCGTACTGACACTTTCTACCTTTCTCTATATATTCCTGTTTGTAATATATCTGTGTTATTCCATATCCGTGTTCTTCTTTATTGGTTCTACCTTGAACTATCACCGTGGTACAAGGAACCGGACCATAACAGTGGTGACGAGCATTCAAACTCATTTGGTGGAGGAAGGAAAAAAAATCTTGTTCGCCACAGCATAACAGTGGCGACAAGTGATTTGAACTCATTCGGTGGAAGAAAAAAAATTTTTTTCGTTTGCCACAGAATAACAGTAGCAACAAGGAAACCAACTCTCTACATGGAGGACATACCTTTTTTTTTTTTTTTTTTTTTTTTTGCTATCCATCGCGCATAACAAGTGACAATGAAGATTCAAACTCTCACGTGAAGAACAAACAACAAAATCATCCACAAGGCAGCATAATCATTGCTTTTGAAATCCATTCTTGGTCTGCTCTGACTTTTATAAAGATAGAGCACGGCAGCAGCAGTTAGGCATTTTCTGGAGCAATACAATGAACCAACCATTCTTGCAGCATCTTTTGCAAATGACATGAATAGAAGCATTCCATTTGAAATTGGAAGTGAGTTTTAGTCCCAGTAGGTGTTCAAGGCAGAGCCTCTTTGAGAGTATGAACACTCATCAGGATTGATGCAAGTTTACAGTCTCTGCTTGGTGGTGATAAAATGTAATGAGTTTAGTTTTGGATGTATTGAATGGCATCAGCCAGTCTTATTCCTATTGGGCTATGAGAGGTCAGAGGAGAGGTCAGCTCCCAGGCACCAGTCATCAAGTAATTTGAAGATGCACACACATATACTGTGGTACCATCTGCATATATATTTGCTAAAGATTTGAGAGTGTATTTTGGGGTAGATTTTTGATATAAAATGGAAAGAAGGTAGGACCAAGCTTGATAATATATGATCTTTCTGTTACAAAGTAAAATGATGACATTTGATGAACATATGGCTGTCTTTGTGATCATAAAATCTATTTTCTTTTCAATTTTCTCTTCTTTCCAGTCAAGCAAACTGGAAAATCTGAAATTTTATATTTTCCTTTCTAGATATCTTTGATGATGTTTCTGAACTTGCCAGTATAGCGGAGTCTGTTCCTGGTAAGTAGCAACCTAAATTTATTTGGAATTAATTATTATGGTTATTATTTTCTTTTTTAGCAAATATTTGAATGTTTGAGATGCAAGTTAGTTAATAGTGAAACCTAATATTACACAGTTGAAGAGTGGCAGAGGCTTCCAGATTGCTTGTGAAATTCCTGGGTGGGATTCTTGTGGCACAATAGGTTCCCCATATGACCGGCTGAATATACACAAAGTGGGTCCTAACAGATATTATCAGATTCAGAGTCTATTTTTTTATCTGGAAGATGATAGTCTTTGAAGTCTAGGGTTCAAAGCAGCAACCCACTTGAGCAAAGAAGGAGAAAATAATAAAGAAATAAATGAAAAAAAATGATCAAGTGGCATTTCATGGGAAATTGATATAAACTGGATTCATATCTTCATTTCATTCTCTAAATTTCAACTTTCATTTCTTGTGAATGTACCACACAAACCTTTTGTACACTCCAGCGTGAATGAACAAGAAGCAAAACACAAAGTAGGTATCAATTTGTCTGGCCTGCTGCTTGCGAGGGACTGGCTGAAAATAGAAAGTCTCTAAATTTCCCACCAGTAGGATGGTTTCTTTTTTTCTGTGGCATCATGGGAGTGACATTTTTTGTTATTTCAGTTGGTGAAAGACAGAGGTATCCCTACACATGAGCAGTGGAATGAGAACAATCTGCCCTGTAGATTAAATAAAGGCTTCAGTTCGTAGGTTATCCAAATTAACGTACGCCTGATTAGAAGACACAAGGACCAAAACATTTATAACAACAATGAAGATGAGGACAATCGTATGCATGTAAATAATAAAATTTTCATACTTGGCAGACTCTCAGACATGAAGAAGGAAATATGATACATTATATTTAAGAATTGATATAATGATTTACTAAGCATAGCTTAGATGTGGTACAAGGCAGAAAATATGGAGCACCCAGTGAGGATTGAACTCCCTATTCAGTTGTAATTGATCTTGTGAGACAAGTGTGCTAACAATTTTACTATATTTTTTTTTTTGTACCTAATTGATTATTTAAATTTAAATTTTTTTCAAATTTTCATTGGATTGATATTTGAATGATCAAATTTTGTTTTTATCACATTAATATTAATCTGAACTAATTATTAAGTTACTACAATTATTTCAACTTGAATTACAAATCTTCCGTCATGTCGTAAGACTCCATGATAAGTTTCTCCAGTTGAAGTAATTTGCAGTATAATAGTTTCCAGGGTTGGTATGTACTACCCCTGAATGGGCGGGGTGTGAGGCAAGGCTGATTGGGGGCTCGGGCATGCTTTATGACCCTCATTATCTTAGTAACATTTGTTTTGTTCTCTCTAAATTTATATATATTACAAATTAAACTAAAAGGATGAAAAAATTTTGCAGATTTTGACGTCGTTCTGGGTTCTTTTTCTTGTTCAAATCTGTGAATTTGTTTTGCTTGTGATAAGTCTAAAAAAAACAGTATAGAGAATTCACTAATTTTTTATTCATAATGTTAAATGTGTTAAAATTATAATTTTTTTTAACAAGAAAAATCTCAAGTTAATGTTAAATGCCGCAAAACATTGCTGATTTATTTAAGATGGAATGATCTGTCTATAATTATGACATGTCTCTAATTTGTATTTAGGTACATTGTATTTATTTTCAATTTTTCTTCTTGAATTGTTCACCTATATTGCATATGATTCATTGTACATAATTAGGTTGCAATAAAATTTATATTTTATATAAATACTACTATATGAAAATTGTGATGTAATAAAGTGGGTGGAGGCCATGAGACCTTTGCACTGGCCCTGACAGTATCACATGCAGACCTATATACCAGCGGCATGTCTTCTTCTTCAGTGACCCATTATATGCATACATGGGATGCTCTGAAAGTAACATCTATCTATTTCCACAGAAACTACAACAAATACAGAGAACATGATAACACCGTTGGATAAATCAAGCTTCATGCTATAAAACAATTCCTGTTCCACCTCGTCAGCACCATTGGCTATGCATTTTCAAGGCACTCTTCATTTTGTGGGTCAGGCCAGTGCCTAAGTGTGCTCACATCCCTTGTTTCTTCTCTGTAAATATGCAACAAATATTGATGTGTATAGTTTTTTCCTCATGTGGAGAAATTCAGAGATACACCTCTGCTACCTACATGCTTTCATGTCAGATGCCATTTTGCCAGATTGCTATTTGTAAGCAGGTAAAACAGATTTTGTATTGTTGGTGGGAAGGTTTAGCCATTTACTGCAATTATGACAAACATCTACCTCTAATGTAGGTCAATATAATAAAACAGAAGGCTTACTTTTGGAGTGACCCTCGTCTAATAATAACTAATAATTAATGTAGAAGTTAATTACTAAGTTCATATTTGTTTACATATTTTATATAGATTTATTGGTCAATAATGGGCATAATTAAAATAAAATTTCTCAAAATTAAATCTAACTTTTTTAGTCACTTTAAAAAACTAGAATTTTTAATGAGCTTTAATATTTTCTTTCAAATAACCAACAGACAATGGAGGTGTATATTTTGTTGCTGCTTTTAGTGGATTACAGGTAAGTTATTGCTTTTTATCATTATTATTACTATTTCAGTCACTAATAATACAATTACTAGGAATACACTTAGTAAATTTATAAGCAGAGTTACTTGGGATACTAAGTTAGAAATGCTATTATGGATGCATTTTTTCTGATGGCAGTTTGAAGCTTAAAGTTTGTATTTTCTTCATTTCATATAAAAAGTTGGATATGTTCCAAAATTTTTGTCTGAAATTTTTTTAACCAAAATTATAGTTTATAATTAAAGTTTAGATATAAAAAAAAGTTGTTTGTTTAAACTGATGCTAGCATTATATATCTCAAAACATGCATCAAAACATAACTGCAATTGTGTAGTGATTTTGACATGTTTTTGGTGTAATATCCTAAAATAAATAATATTGCTCTACTTTGTATTGAGCCCTGTTTTAAATTAACTGTTACTAACATTGAAGTCAACACCCAGAGGCAGTAGTCACTTTCTTGCTAAATGCAATTGTCAGGCCATGTGTGTTGTGTTTTTGCTCAACTATTTATAGATACAGGTCAGTGATGCATTGTGGATAGTTTATTATTCTAATGGTTATTTTGGTGGGTGTGGTTTGTTAATTTATTTATTATTTACTTATTTATTTGTTTGAATTAATTTATTTTACTTGTTTTTGTTTATTTTCATTTAGTCCTGTTTATTTTCAATTTTTAAGTAGTGTAGTAAAAATTTGTTTTTGTGTCTGCATTTTGAGATGATTTCTGATTGTTTACTTAGTAATTTGTTTTGGTCTTGGCAGATACTTATGACTATTTTTTCCTCCAGGCAGGAATTTGTATTTACATATGCCCTATCCCTGATATTGAACACTTTAACCTATATAATATAGCACACCTTAAAACTATATTTTATTATCTCTCTCTCTCTCTCTCTCTATATATATATATATATATATATATATATATATATATATAAAAGAACAAATAGGAAACTTATATCATTCTAACAGGTTTCACTTTTACTAAAGATTTGTCAGAGATTGAGAGAAAAGAGACAAAATAAAGTAACTCTGGTATTTTCAATTTTGTTTGGGTCAGTTCTCCTTGCTCAGTCACATGCATTAAAACCCTAGATAATTCTATATGTATATAAGTTTGTGGAAGATTCCTGTATGTCTAAGTGGCCATTGGATGGTAATGTGTATTTGTAATTGTGTTTGTGTGTCTGTCTAGTGGGAGTTCTAATGTTTTCACCTTTGTGTGCTCAGCCAGCACAATGGGATACCGCATCATACTAATTTATGACTGATCTTTTTAAGCATGTATTCTTTGTATTAGATAGATATAAGCTAGTTTCTTTAAGAATGGAATAAAAAAAAGATGGCAATATAATGTTTTAGGCATATGTTTATAATTGGTAATAATGTTATTATTAAGTTTTTAATGTATTTTCTCCTTGAAAAATTATGTTTTTTTAATTAGGGTGGCATTAGTGAACTCAAAGTTATGTCCAGCATCATTTTGATGCAAAATGAGAGTTAGATCATTTGTTCAAACGCAAGTCTCTCTTGTGTTCATAGATGCGGGCTTTTAGATCACATGATGTCTTCCTAACATAAACATGTCTTCATTGTAAACAGTTTATTTGATAAATCCCAGCATTTGAATTGGTGTTGGGCTTATTTTTCTTCATAATTATATTTCTGATTATCTTGGAGGTGGTGGTAATAATCCCAGTATTAGGGATGACTAAATAATGTCATAGTTTTATTGCAGTTTTTATTTTATGATTCAGAGCAAATTTTCAATAAATGGTGTTTCTCTTTGACAAATACAAATTGATTTAAATTCTCCAAAGAGTCCTGCTTTTAACTAATATAAATATGAAGAGGCTGAAATTTTAATTTCTTGAAATTTCATAAAATTATGTAAGTAGGAGTAACAGATGTAAAAACAATATTTTTACCAAGATTTTCAAAAAATAAAATAATAATTTCATTCATTTGTGAATAAATCCTGAAAATTTCATTAAAATCAGGCAGTTATTTTATTTTTGCAAGAATTTTCAAAACAATGTGTTTTTTACCACAAAAAAAATACTAAATTTTCTAATACTTTTTGGCCCACCCACTGATGCAAAAAAAAAACAAACAAAAAAAAAACAGGATTTTTAACCAAAATTTCAAACATGCCAGAAAGGATTAAAAAATTTGATAAAACAATCAAAAAATACTTTGGTCTTTCCTCTTAATAATAAACATTTTGCCAATAAAACTTTGTTTCCATCTAGTTTGAAGTCTTTTTCATCATCGTATGCTCTTTTTTTAGCGATACCTAATTTAAACTGATACCAGAAGGTTGTGGGTTAAAAAGAAAGTAAACCTATTAATTGAAGTTAATACTTGTAGAAACACAATTATTTTGTAGTTTCAAAATGACAGCAGCTCTTATGAGACCTTTTATTTTGTTACTCTGGCCATACTCTTAAAAAAAAAAAAATGAATGCCTGCCATTTTCTTATTGTTTCATTGAGAGGCCAGCTTCTTATTTGACAAGTTAAGGAAGACAATTGACAAAGGAAAAGTTGATTGCATGAGCTGAGAAGTTATAGATGTGAGTGAAACTGGTCATGTACACCCCCCTCCCCCCACTCTCCTTTTTATTTTACTCTATAGATATCCCTACCCTTAGGGCCTAAATATGGCTGGCAAATTTCGGGTTGGGTAGTGGCAGGAAACACTTGTGAGAGATGAAAATCACTAGCATTGTTGTTAATTGATGCTACTTTCTTTTGGAATCTAATCAATTCTGACAGCTTTTTATCCCTTGAAAGGACCCCCCCCCCTACTTTGCTTTGGCTAATAAATGTCAGATTTCAATTATCTAAAGTGCAAGGAAATATCTTTTTTCCTTTTTTCTTTTTTTTTTTTTTAATTCTTTGCTATTTATATCTTTAGCTACAGACCAAAGATAAAAACAGAAATGTACTTAAAAATTTACCAAGCTATTCAGGTCAATAGATTCCCTAATGCCCCCCCCCACTCCTGAAAATATTGTACTTGGTCAGTAGCCAATTAGTTTCAAATATGTCTGCAAGCTGTCCAGTAAGCAGAAATTGTGAGAGTGTTTCATTTCATATATTAACTCTGGGGACTTAGGAATACAGATGTTAAATATTGATGGTTTTCAGAGAAAATTACTTAGAATTACTCTTGATATCTGCTGGCCTTGCATGATCTTGAATATAGACATATATGATGAGACAAAACGTGAATCTTGGAGCAAAATCATCAAAAGAAAGATATTCACCTTCCTAGAACATGTAATGAGACTACCCAAAGAAATGTCAGTTAGAAAAGTTTTGGATCAATGCTTGAGACAGGGTTTTCCAACCTGGGTGATATCGCCTACCAGTGGACAATTTCAGCTGTTGGGTGGGAAATAAACAACTGAACAGAAAATGGTGGGTGATTGGAAATTTTGGTGAGTGATACAGAATTTTGAGTATTAAAAATGTATTTCAATATATGCTACCCACCCAAAAAAAATTTCAAAGGAGATATGCAAAGAACTTGTATTAAAAAAAAAAAAAGCCCCAAAGAACAAAGGCTAAATGTAATTAACTTGGTTACATTCCTAGATAGGATATAAATATTGCCCATCTCTCTGTAAAAAAAAAAAAAAAAAAAAAAAAAATTATTTTTTATAGTTTTGAGAAGGGTAATTAACATTCAAATAGTTCCTCAGAATTTTTGGGGGATATAAATCAGATAAGAAAATACCAAAAACAATAAAAAATGTATTTGCTGAGTTTTTTCTTAGTTGCTGGTAGTGTATATTCTTTTTAGTTTTATAATTATGAACAAAAATCATTTAATTTTTTTCTCACCTCTTGCAACACTAACCCTAATCATAACTATATATATATATATATATATATATATATATATATAGTTTTCAATGGTCAAGTTTGCTTTTGTTTGTTCCTTTATATGGTAGGAGCAGCAACAGCCGCCACATTTGTTACCTCCCTTTGGTATTTTCCTACATCATAAAGTCACTTTATATGAGCCAATAAAAAATGTCTATCAGTTTTGTTATGCTTTTGAATATTTACTATACAGTTGAGCAGTGGAAAATTTATTCATGTGAAAGTGGGCAATAATGCAAAAAGGTTGAGAACCCCTGCTTTAGACCATACAATAAAATGGAGTCACCCAGAAATTTTATATCTAAAGCCAATTAAACCTGACCTTGCAAATATAAATATTACATTACAAATCCAGCCTCTCTTGTTCAACTGGAAGACTTAACCACAGACAAGTGCAGTTGGCGTCAATATAAATATTGTTCATCTAATTATTTTGTGTAAGATTTAAAAAAAAAATAATAATAAAATAAAATATATATTAATATAAACTGATATAGTGAGTATAAAAAAAACCCACAATTCTCATAATTTCTTATAAAACTTAGGTTTTTTTCTAAATGCAATAATGGAATCCAAACATTACAAAACATTATTATGATTGGAATTGCTTCATTTTTCCAGTGACGTTTTAAATATGGAGAAATGTTTTTACAGCTTTATTGCAGTTGATTTTTATTGTCCCAATTCTTAGTTTGTTATTCTGTGATGATATTCCTGGTCCAATGGCACTAGTACGCAGAGAGTTACAGGGAATGAAGAGGAAAAGGACAATAAAGGGACATGGTTCAAGAAAACAGAAGATGACAATTCACATTTCATTTAAATTTTTGTAGATTGTAGGTGGTGGGAAAGCAAGAAATTGGAGTTCCACAGGTGAGAAGTGTGAGAAAAGAAACTATTAGAATAGAACTGACAGTTGCATCTAGCTCGTTCAACAGTAAAACAACGAAACCTAGTAGCATGTTTAAATTCGTGTAGTCAGAGCAGTAGAGGAATAAAGTTCATCAGAGTGAAAATATTTGTAGAAAAGACAAAGGGAAGCCATGTCATGTTGATGAGAAAATGACTGAAGTTGAGATGCTAGGTCAGGATTGATTACATTACAGACACCTCTTTAAATTTTGTCAAAAGTCTTAAGATATACAGCAGGAACACCAGACCAGATATGGCAGCAGTATTCAAATGCATGGATGAATGATAGATTTATAAATGTACAAGGTGGATTCAGATAAGAAAAATTTCCTAGCAGTAGACAGAGCAATTGATTTGATATAGTTGTTCAACTTCATACTAGTGGAAACGTGAGGCCAGAAAGGTGTAAAGTGTTACTATCCTGGAGTTTGCTTGCTGTCAATTTTAGAATGAGAGCAAGAGTTGTAATAAAAACTATGGAAATTAAGATGAAAGAAATACTAAATAAAAAAAAAAAAAATTAATGCTTCATCTCCAAATTTTAAAAAAATAGTCTCTTGAGCATAGCGAACAAATTTGCTCTTACACTTTCTTTTTCTTTTTTATATGAATTTTTAATTTATGGCATGATATATTACATTGCCAGATAGATGCTATCCCTTGCTAAATAACTCCACTGGTTTTAATATCACCCACTTCCTGATTACATTCTAGGCTCAAATGAACTATGCTTGTAAATTCTACCAGTTCAGACCTTTACATCTAGGAGCTGCCATACCATATACACAGGTTCAAATCATCCTCATTCCCTTTGTATTCCACTGGTAAGTTAGAAGTTCTACTCAGACATTTTTTCTTGAGAACAGCTACTGTGTGGAACAGACCCCCAAGAGGTCACTTCCCCAATTACTAGAATCTTGACATTTTCAAATCTAGGGTCAACCATTAAATATCCTCATAATCTAAACTTCTTACTTCTCTACAGCAATCTCATTCTGTAACCCTCTACCTTGAGTGATTCCTGGGCCTTGTATTGAGTAAACAATACTATTTTAGAAAAAAAAAAAAAATAAAGGAAAAATTAATTTTATTGGTCCATAAATTGAGTGAATGTTTGTCTTCTTTTACTATCTATTGGTGTGTATTTGCTTTACAGGCCCCAATTAATGATGATACAGCAGTCACGACAATGATTGGCATGACCCCAAGTACTGACAGAGCACATGTGGTAAGGGCGATCCTCGAGTCCTTAGCCTTCAGATTCAAGTTACTTTATGAGACAATGTTGACAGAAACTAAACAGCCAATTAAAACAGTCAGGTGAGAAAATATTTATTCATATATCTACAATGACAGCAGAGGAGTTTTGTGTGTGTGTTATATATATATATATATATATATATATATATATATATATATATATATACAGACATTATGAAATGGACAAAGTTTGACAATTATTTAAGGCATAAAAAGAACATATAAACATAAAAAAATGTCTTAAATAATTGTCGGACTTTGTCCGTTTTATAATGTATGACGTCATTCGTTTACTTTTGAATATGTGTTGAGCAGAATGAGAGAAAATCATGGAGAATTGTGTTTAAAAACAGTGAGATCGACCTTGCTAACTGAACGCTCCTCTGTGACCCAATCAGTTAAAGGGCACGTCAGGCTATATGATGGTTCCGTATAAGATACAGGGTCGATTCCTGTTGGAGGATGCATATTTTCTATGAAAATTTCTCAGACATTCAGGCCGGTAAATGTTGTTAAAACTGTTTATTATAATATTACTTAAAATGTTATTATAGTGGATACTTATATTTGAAATAGATGCCCCATTTTTATTTTTACTTTAAACAGTGTATATTTTGTCTATTGGCCTGTACACTCAAGAAATCTCAAAGAAAATGTGCTCACTGGCAGGGACAGAGACTTGCTGAACTGTGATGATCTTTGTAGCTGAGTGGTAAAGCACACCAAGTCAAATGGTAGTTCTGCCCTACAAAACAGGATCCCTGACAGAGCGCACATTTTCTTTTTAAGATTTCTCGAATAAACCAATAAATCTATAGAAATATATGTATGCGAGTAAATCAGGAAGTAAAGGCAATTTTGTAATTATACATTAAAAATAACAGGGAAGTGCTGACACGCAACACCGTGCCTGCGCCTGTACATGATGTGCAGCATTCCATCGTTCAGTCAAGTGGCAGGGAGAAATGGGGTCAGATGTATGGATGCTTTACTTTTCACTTACACTATTGAGGAAAAACATGCTGTAGTACACTTTCTGTAGGAAGAAGTGGGAGAGTCAAGCCTGCAAAAATCCATTGCTGGATATTAGTGCAGCATGAAACATGAATCTGTGAAAGGCGTATGTGTAGGTAGAACGTTTTAAAGCAGGAAGAAGAAGTGTAATGGATATATGCCGATCTGATTGCTCATTAACATCACGCATGGAAGGACACATCCAAAATGGTGGATACCTTCATCAGTGAAAACTGATGAATCATGTTAGCACAAATGGCAACAATCGTGGGCATCAGCTATGGATCTGCACAAGCTACAGCGCATGATAACTTGGGATCCCATAAGGTTTGTGTGTGTGTGTTGAGTGACCCAAGTGGTGCAGATGTGGCTTCATGAACAACTGAAAAGCTTCTATTCAGAAGAGATGAAAAAGTTTGTTGAATGTTATCAGAAGTTCTTTTCTGTGTCGGGGTATGTTGGAAAGTGGTGTATACATCTGTTCTTCATCAGTGGAAATAAAGGTGCTGTATAGAAATTATCTTTACTTTTTGATCTACTCTTGTCTGTATGCAATTAATGTATATTTGGGCAGCAACCTTTTTTTTTTTTTTTTTTCTTTTTTAAATATGTTTTATTGAATACTAGCATTGCCCGGGGATGTAACAGTAAGAGATAGATCAAGTATCGACCATTATAAAGATTGACAAAGATTATTGTTTAAGGTTGACAGACACGCATGTCTTAATTAGTTTGTTTTTTTTTTACGAATTGGTCAAAGCCAAACTCAAACAAAAACATTGTTTTCAATCGTTATGAGTCTACTGATTGAATAGAATTTTGTTATAAACAATTGTCTTGTAAATAGAATTTTTAAGGCATTCTGAATGTAAAAATAAAGAAAAAAGTGTGCAAGACAATAAGAAACACTACCTGCCAAAAAAAAGTGAAGTTTTGTTGAAATCGGTTGAAAAATGTAGGAAATCCGATCCTATATATAAATGAACACACACACATACACAAACAACCTGGGTTTTATAAGTATAACTCGATATGAGTTGTCCCCCCTTTCATTCTTGCAACAGCGATGCCTCTTAATCATGTTTTCAAATTGATTTCATGCAAAAACAATTGTTTTTGCAATTTTTGGCACTGTCAGAACCACCGCAAGGTAATTTTACGTAGTCCTGTGAAGTTTTGTTGAAATCGGTTGAAAAATGTAGGAAATCCGATCCAATATATAAACGAACACACAAACACACACAACCTGGGTTTTATAATAAGTATGATGACAGACAGGGGAAAGTTTAATTAACTTTTCATTTACTTTTTCCAGCATTCTTACATTTTTCCATTTGGTGGGATTAAGGGCATGCAACAAATTGTCCGTATTATCCAAATGCTTTTGACTACTTCTTTAGCCATTTTCAAAGGCGTTTGTTTGAAGTGTTGTTAAATTTCATTTCAGGTTTGACTGTTTATTTTTTTTGTGTTATTTTGGGTACTAGTAAGAGTATGTTTGTGATGAAATATAAAAAAAGTTCAAGTGTTCCATGAAATACACTGGTGAGATAACTAGAAATTTAAATGATTGATTGATTTGTTTTTTTACAGGTTATCCATTCTGTGATTTATTTAAAGCCAAAACATTTTGGGGATTCTAAGAATTATTTATGTATTATTTTTTTTCAGTGAATATTGCATTCACAATTTTTGGAGAATAACAGTGGTTTTCCCCAGATACATGTCCTATTATTTAACCCATAGCTAAGAGGAAGATGGATTCTTACCTTTCCCAAGAGTATAAAAACATTAAATGAAAGATTATTATATGAATATAATAGAGACCTTTTACAAAACAATACACTCAATGCATTATTGTTCATCATAATAGGTTTGATCATAAATTTCTTTCCCTTTTAATCAGAAATTATCAGATGAAAATGCTTGCCATCCCCAGTCTTTTGAACAAGAGCAGAAGTTTATCTCGTTTCCTATTTAGGATTGGGTTTCCAGTTCTTTCTAGCATCTTGCTTTGCTTGCAGTGAAAATGATTAACAAAAAAAAAAAAGTGGAAATTCAAATTTACATATTCAACCTTGCTGTAGATTCAACCTGAATCTAGCCACAAAGTTAGTGACCTTAAGGCAAAGTTGAATGACATAGCACATTCATATGCAGGTACTCCTATTTCCTTTTGTGAATTCAGGTGGAACAAGGAACAATATCAGATTATCAAATCTCGCCATTGTAATAAATCTTTGGTCATTACAAAACCTGACAAAGGCTCAGGTGTTGTGATCCTGGATTATCAGGATTATGTAAACAAGATGATGATTCTTGAAGATTCCTCTAAATTTGTTCAGTTAGGTTCAATAGATAAGTTTGACTCTACATTAATTATTGAGGCTAAGTTCAAAAAATGTCTAATCAAGTGGTTAAAAATGGGGTATTGCCCATTGACATTTCTAATTTTAGACCCTTGGGTTCTATTCATCCCCGTCTCTATGGTTTATCCAAAAAACATAAAGGTTGGGATCCCATTGAGACCTATTTTGTCTACAATAGTCACGCTATATTGTGAGGACTCTAAGTGGCTAGCCACTGTATTGCAGCCAGTTTTGGAATGGTTTAATTTGTCCTGTATCAAAGATTCCTTTGGATTTTCTGATTTTATACAGAATTACTCGTCGACTAACAAATTTGTGTTTCTTTGAAATTTCTAGCCTTTTCACCTGCATGCCTCTTATTGAGACTATTGATATATGTGCTAACATCTTATATTGTAGTCAGTTGTCCCTTCCTCCTATTTCACAGGATATCATGTATAGGCAGATTGATGGAGTTTCAATGGGTTCCCCTTTAGGACCCATTTTAGCAAACATCTTTGTAGGCTTCCATGAATAGAGTGTATTATCTGATCCTAATAGACCTGATGTGTATTATCATTATATCGATGGTACCTTTTCTCTCTTCAATAGTGAAAATGAAGTGGACCTTTTATAGAACTTAGAGTTTTCTCACTTCAATTTATCGAAAACCATTGTTTACTGGTTTGTATACCCGTTGGGACTCTTTTTGGCCCATAAAACGTAAAATAAATTTAATTAAGACTCTTACCCATAGGGCCTTAAAGATTTGTTCTAAAACCAAACTGGGTGATATAGATGAGCATTATTACTATTACTCATTGCAACAATGCCTATCTTTTAGACATTGTTCAATCCGTAAATACAAATAAATTTTCAGAGTTTAATAAAGTCAAACCTGCTTCAATACAGAGATGTCTCATTTACCTATGTCTTCCTTGGCTAGGTAGTGTTAGTGACAGATTTACTAAACGGGTTTTCATAGCAGTCTGACAATGTTACTTTGCTGCTAATACATGTATGGTTTTCTCTGCTAAAACAGTCTATCCATCCATGTGCAATCTCACCATAATAGTTCCCTGATTTATTTATTTAAATGTAGTCGCAGTTTGCACTGCATAGGAAGAATGACTCAAAGGCTGGATGCTAAGATTAAACAACATGTGCCTACGAAAATCCAATGCATACGGGTTTTCCATTGTGGAGCACCTTATAAATAACTGCAATTGTGCTGCTAATTTCAGTGTCAACTTGTTTTCCATCTTGAGCAGGTCTCACTCAAATTACCACCTTAAGATATTGGAGGCCATATATATTTTATCCATGAAACCTTCAATCTGTAAACAAAAGGATTTCCATTTAATTTTTTTTTCTTCCCTTATATTTCATCTCTTTTATTGATAATATATATTTATTAACCTTGATTTAGCTCTGTTGAGCGAGGTTTGAAACTGGTTAGCTTGTTCTTCATTTCCCCCCCTTTAATTATTATCATGTGTGGTATTATTAAAAATACAAATAAATTTTGTCTGTTTATGGTGGTTAAGTTTTGTACCAATAATAAAATGTTTAAATTTACATCTATTGAATGTCAGTATCTAAATTTAAATGTGGAGCCCTTCTCTTATTGAAAGTTTTGACTATAACTGGTGTTTGCTGTATTGCTCTCACCAATTCTCCACCAGTTCCCCACTTTTATTTTTATATATATATCACACACACAGAGAGCCATAATGTAGCTTCTCTGAACGTTTTGTATGAATAATTTCATGGTAAATTGTTCTGATGACCTCTTCGCTATGATACCTAGCCTTTATGAATTAAAGCGTAGTACTAGATTGACGGTAAAGTCTCATCAATTTACAGTGGAATTGGTTAAATGTAACTGTACGTTCTATGCTAACAATTTCTTATCTCCTTTGTGGAACTCTCTTCCAGTGAACTTTGATTTTCAAAAATTTAAATGTCAATCATTATCTTCTGTCTTCTTGATTACTCTTCTATTGTTCTTTAGTAATGTTTCTAATTCTTTCACGCTCAGTAACCCCATGTGTCTTAGTGGCTTTACTGCCTTGCTTAGGGCGAAATGATATATATATATATATATATATATATATATATATATATATATATATAAATCTATGACAGAGTGGAAAAAAAAAGGAGAACACTGAAATTTTAAGTTAAATTTTAAAAAAATATGTGTTGTCTACTCTTATAGATTTTATTTATGTCGTTCTTGATATATAAATCTTTATATTGTTTTCCTATATATAAATTATATATATTATAAAAATGTCAAGGCAGAAAATGAGCAGTTGGTGGGAGTAGGGTGTTATGTATCCTTTGTACCCTCAACATATGTCTGCAAATATTCACTTGCAGAAATTAAACATTTAAAAGAGAAATGTTCAACATTTTCAATTCACTATATTATTCATACTATAATCTGTTTGCATGATAAATATAGAATGGTAATCTTGACATCTGCTTGTTTCCTATACATGTTTTTATTCTTTGCTTTGTTCTATAAGGTTTTCTTGGCTTGCCCAAGAAGCTATCCCTACCCCTAAATTCTGGTTATTTAGATAGACTTTTAAAATATAGTTTCAACACTTCCTCAGATATGTATAATCATTTTCAGTAAATGAAAAAGTTTGTTTTTTTTTTCTCATAAATCCTATTTGTGTTGTCTGAGGTTAAAATGAATGAGCCATACAGTTTAATGGCTTCCTACTCACTGTATGTCGTAAGGGGAGATAATTTTCTTTTTATGCATATCCAAAAATGTTTGGTATAAAGGTTAAGTGTTCTAAAGTTACTTTTATTTTTAAAATTTAATAGAAAATTATAAAAGTTAATTTGTAATTTACATAATTACAACTGCTAAAAAGTTTTATATATTTGAATCTCACTTGTTTTTTTGTTTTTTTTTAAATTAATAAATTTTGAATAAAATACAAGCATCTAGAAATAGAATATTACTTTTTCTTATAATGTATGACCAAGTTTGTGTCTCCCAGCAAATTTAATCTTTTAGAAGTAAAGAAGAATATAATTTTTCCTTTTGTTTTTTCTTTCTTTCTTAAGTTCTAAAGGATGCAACAAATTATTTTTATTATTTGAACCTTTCATATTTTTGCTTGTCTCGAATTTCCTGTTCTATCAGAATGTTATGTAAATAATACTTCAATACAAATTAAAGATTGTATTTGTTCTGCACCAGCATTTTGTCTCTCACTTATGTTTAATAATAATAATGCCGCTGTAATAATGCTTGTCTATAAGAGATTCAAAGAATTCCTACTAATCTTTGCCCATTCACTCAAATTTCTCACAATTTACTCTTAAGCTCTATAAACATTGACATTCAAACCAGTTTTGTTTTTGTAATTCCCATTGACTGACCTATTTTGGTTGGTCTTCCTGGCTTTGGCCTTAGAAGAAAATGTCCTCCGGCATATTAAAATATCGTTGTGTGTAACAATTCTGTGAAAACACTGCCTCTAATGGAATGCCTGGCATGGGGAGGTAAAAAGGAAAGGAAAAAGAAGCTATCTTTTTTCTTTTCAATAGCTAATGTTCCCCTAATACAAGGCCCAAGAGCCACTCAAGATAGGGAGTTACTATAAGATTTTGTATGGAGGTAAGAAAAGGCAAAAAGTGAAGTTGATGGGGCTGTGCAGAAAAGTTAATAGTTAACCCTAGGCTTGAAGAGGTCAAGGTTGTAGTTTTCACAAAGTTTAATCAAACTTCTTATTGTAGAAATATGAAAGGAATGGGAATGATTCATTCTTGTGTATGTGGCATGGCAGGTCCCAGCTGTAAAGGTTAGAGGTAATGGGACTATAGAAGGTAGCTCGTCAAAACACCTGCCATGGAAATAGTGACAGAGTAGTGAGAGGCTAATGAAACAATAACATTAAAGGCTACCTTTAACTGCTAACAACCATTTCTGTTTATAGAGATTGTTGGTAGGACTTAATATATACCAATTCCAAAACATTCAGGTGAAAATTAGTATTAACCTTTCTCAGGACTGAGCACACTGCTGGTTTTTGATAAAATGTTCAGCTATCACTGAACCTTGTACATTAGCACATCTATGTAAATTGTCCACCTTTTTAATCAGTTCACTCCAAGCAAGGTAATAATGCCACTAAGATGCTACTGGAAGTGAAAGAGAATAAAATGACTTTAGAAAAAACTGGAAACTCAATCCTAAACAGGAAACAAGAGAAATCTCTATTTCTATTCAAAAGATGGGAGAGGAGGGTGAACCTATACTCCAAGGATTATACAATATTTGTTGTGTTTATTTGTAGGCACCAAGAATAGTGAATTTTTCACCCTGTGTCCTTATATAGTCTTATATTGGTGAGAACATGTTGGTTGACCCATGTCTACAACCTTTGACCTGTTCTGCCTATGTAGTCAGCCTTACATGGACATCAGAATTTGTAAATCATAAAACTAATATGACCGATAGGTTGAATATCTTTCCAGATCGGCCTTGACATATTTCTTTGTATTTATTTTATTCAATATTTATTCTTTATTCCATTTTCTTAAACTTTTAATTACTTTTCTTTTTCTTGTTATTCAAACACTAATTCTTGGAATTCTGAGACATTTATTAAATTTGTTAAGATATTTAAAATAATTCATTTATTAAATTATTTTTTGGTATTTTTTTCTCTCTTTGGAATTGACTAAATATTCCATCTTTTTTTTTTTTTTTTGTAAATTTTATTTTAATCAGTATGGCCCCATGCAAAGCAGTAAAGCCACTAAAACACAAGGGGTTATAGAGTGTGGAAGAATCAGGAACAGAAACATTAATAATAAGTTGAAAGAGTAAAGAGTATTCAGGAGGACAGTAGATAGTGATTGACATTGATCTGCAAAAATTTAAATGCAAAGTTAACTGGAAATCATGGAGATGGAAAGGTATTCCACAAGTGAGAAAAGAAACTTTAGCATAGAAGTTATGGCTATATCTATAGCCATCTCAACTGTAAATTGATGAGACCTTGTTGCCAATCTAGTACTGTGCTTAAATTCATGAAGTCTAGGTACCATAGTGAAGAGCTCATCTGAACAATTACCATGAAAGTATTTATAGAAAAGGCACAGAGGCAACCTTATGCCGATGGGTAAGTGACTCAGGACAAATAATATTGCCGATTCATCTTTGGATTTCATCAAAGATCACTAGATATATAGCAGGAGCACCGGACCATATGTAGCAGCAATATTCTAAGCAAGGATGAATGATAGAATTATAGATATATAAAATAGCATAATAGAATTAAATAAAGTCCAGAATCTGTATTTGTTCCCTTTGGTCTACTTATTAAATCCTTGAAACAGATTATTTGTATTTAAAACAATTTCTTGATTGTAATCTTTTCATTTTCCCCACTAAATAATTGGGAAAGATTGGAATTATATTTTCTACTCTATTATTTCATAAAATAAGCCTTGACAATTTTAAACTCAACATAAAAGTTCTTCTCAGTTGATAGCTTATCAAAGAGAAAATATTTGATCATTTTTCAAATTTTAACTGGATAAAAAATAGTGGTACATCCCTGGTAAATGGTGTATCTTCAAGCCAGGAACAACATTCTGTTATGTTTGTCAGAAATAGCAGGAGTGTGTGTGTGTGTGTGTGTGTGTGTGTGTGTAGAGAAATTCAACATGCAAGAGGAATGTTAGAAAAATACCAGTAAATAAAACTATCAGCCAGACAGCCAGAATCTAAATTATATATATATATATATATATATATATATATATATATATAAAAAAGTTTTTTTTTTTTTTTTTTTTTTCTTGTAAGTGGGAAAGGCATATTTTGTTTAATTATTTAAAACCAAAAATATTCTGAAAACTATTCATATTTTTTTTTTATTTTAACAGAGTCAATGGTGGTGTTTCCAACAACAAATTTGTGTTACAGCTCATGGCTGATTTAACAAACCAAGTTATTGAAAAATCACGATTCACAGACATGACCAATTTGGGGGCTGCATTTCTTGCTGGGCTTGGCCAAGGTAAAACTCAACATTTTTTTTTTATTTTAAATATATATATATATATATATATATATATTGGAAAGAATTTGATATATAAATTATTTCTACAGTTAAATATTTTTCACTTTACTTGTGTTCAGGGAAATATTATTGAGAATATTGAAGTCAGTATGATTTCAGTTTTAGCTGAACATTCTGCATAAAAAGAAAGGTAGGAAACTTTATAAAAAAAAAAAAAATTTAAGAAGATTTAACCTTCATTTTAACCTTCATGCTTGCAAAAAAAAGTGTCAGAAGGACTGTTTTCTGCTATTATTTTTACTACCTCCATTCCTTGGCGATGTTAATGGTTTTAAAAAGCAACAATTAAAATTGTAATAAAACCTAGACATATACAGAAAGTGAATTTATACATTACATATATTTTGTTCTTGAGTTGAGAACAAATTAATTATTGATGATAGTTTATTGGCTCTAAGTGATTTATTACATTATTAATTTACAAAATTCTAAAAACTAATAAAATTGTAATTGATGCAATATTTATCATTATTTGGACTGATGTCCTTCATCTATTGCCATATTCATAACGTTTTGGCTGTTGCTGATTGGAATTTCGAACTGAACCCTTTATTTCACACCGCCAGTATCTCAGTTATCTCCCTTTAACTTAACTCTCCAAGTTTTTGTTCACCACTGCAGTAGCCAGGTATTGAACTCGCAACTCTTTGGGTCAAAGTCACTGGATCCAACCAACGTTTTTATCCACTAGGCCATGCGTCTTTGAGGTGTATGAATTTTGGGGATTTATAAACTTAAAATAAACAATCTAATAAATAAATAGTGCTTGTTCTTGAAAAGTGACAAAAATAATAATAATGAAAAAGTTAAATTCACTTTCAGATGTTTGGATTTTCTTAAAATTCTAATCATGAATGTGGAGGTAGTTAAAATAATGATGTTGTCAATGGAAAAAAAAAAAACTGTCTTTTTGACACTCCATTTTCTTTTTTTTTTGCTGGTGAACAGGTCCAAATTTACCAAAAATTATATATCAGTGGGAGTCAGAAAACTTTGAAAACAAAATTTCTCAGATATGTAAATAAACTTTTTACTGTAAAACATTTGGCAAGTAACTCCAGTTGTTAATGACACTACAAAATACTAAATTCTACTTTATTGTTGGTCAATTTTAATATCTTATACATGTGAGAGTATAAGCCTGTGTCAATTCCCAAGGGAAGATATACAGTGTATTAATACAGGATCATAGTACTATTGATGCATCCCTTAATTTGTATCATGTGATCATTTACTCTAATCTAGCTGTATTACTTGCACATTTAATCTTGGGCAAATTGAAACATATTCAGTGTTGCAATATTATGCATGAATTCTGAGCATGAGATGTCAGTTTGAATCTCAGCATTGTCAATTTATCAAGAAAGTGGCTTCTTGATTATATCAGCCTGGGGAGATGATCCCAATGTGTGGCACTGTTGGCAATTTCCTGAAAACCATATCACTGAAGAAAGCCTTCTGAATGAAATTGGGTAGACAGAACTGTCAACAGTTGTGCTAGCACAAAGTCACAAGTCAGAGGGTTAAAGTGTACGGGTTTTGTTCAAACTGTTGATTATGCCTGCCAGATTATGCACTCTCTCCCAGGAACCCTAATATAGTCGCTCAGCATAATTGCAGTATTAATAGGAATAGATAGGTTCACACTCCTCCCCAGTCTTTTGAACAGGAGTAGGGTTTATCCCTTTCCTGTTCCTTCTAAAGTCTTTTCATTCATTCTCTTTCATTTCCAGTTGCCCCTTGTGTCTTGGTGGCATTATCACCTTACTTGAGGTGGTGCGTCTTAACCATCTACCTTGACTGACTCTTGGGCCTTGTAGGTATTGAAGAAACACACACAGGTGCTTGCAGTAGAGATTAGCTAGCCACCCTAGTAGGCTACATAGTCTCTCAACCTACAGAGATGTCATTAGCCAAATTGAGTTTATTTTTGTTCCCTAAATATCTATACAAACAATGAGTTGTATATAAGTATAAATAATGAAAATCTTTCATTGTTTTATATATTTCTAATTTTCTTGCTAAATCTAAATGCATTTTAAGTTGAAATAGTTTTTGCTTCAAGATGTGTATGTATTTGAAAACACACTCAAATATGTCGGAATGAAATAAATCCTGGAAAAAAAAATCTAACATAAAAAAAGAGGCAGATAGTCTTTTAAGGTGAGCAGTAGACTTTAGTTAACAATATTACAGTGAAACTGCAATGTCTTTCCCAGAAGTTTTGCCACCCACATAAAAAAAAAAACAAAAACAAAAAAAAAAACAAACACATAACTCTTGTCATGTTTCACTTGACAAAAAGAGTTAACCCAAATGAGAGCTAAGAGAAACAACGCAGTAGACATGTGGCATTCCCATCAAAGAAAATTTTGCTCTGAGGAATTGTCTGATATTTGGAGAAGTTAAAAAACATAATTGGATTTTGCTAACTGGGAAGGAATTGGTCTGGACTTGTCGTCTATGTTTCCTGACTGAGTTTTCATTCACACATCAATAGAAATTCCTGTTTTGTAAATAACAGAATGAAAAAAAAAACAATATCACTCACAAGGAAATTTGTGAAAACTTTCAAAACTGCTATTTCTGTTAGGAGTAAATAGAACTTTCCTGACGCCATCTTAAAAAAAAAAAAATACACCTTAAAAGTTCTATATGAGAATAATACATCTCTGACATTCAGATTAATTTCTGATTGATTAAAACGATGTATTTTCTATTTTAAATAAAAATCAATCAATAGGTATTCAATAATTATTTTATTCTAAGTTAACACTTCCACGATTTGATTGATTGATTCAGTCATTCATTTTCTACAATTTATCAACCCTTTGCAGGTTATTTAAAGCCAGAAAATATTTTTAGATTTTAAGAATTTTTTTTTAAATAATACTTTAGTGATGTAAGTTTTACTAATTAATCCATAGTTGAGGGGAAGTGGATGGTTACCTTTCCCAAGTGTATTTGCACCTAAGTCAATATAACACTCAACTGGAATTCTGATAAATTATCCATAGCGGTCACCCGCCTAGGTACTGACCAGGATCAGTATTGCTTAACTTTGATGATTGTACAGGAACTGATGTTTCAATGTAGCCATAAGCCCCCACTTTGGATAGACTTATGGCTTTGGTATAGAATGACAATAGGATAAAAAAAAATCTTAGTTTTTTGCTGATGTGTTTTTGTCTTTCAACTTTATCAAGGTAAAAAAGAAAGCAAAATGTTTTTGTTCTTATAGTTACATTAACTCCAAAAATTTAAAAAAGAGAGAGAAACGCTTTTGCATAAGCCTCTTTCTGAATAATGTCAACTTCCTTTATACTAAGAATTTTTTCTCACAACCTCCCCACCCTCCGTACTGACAATATAGTAAAATTCCCAGAACAATTTATAGCTTTACAAAATTTACACTAGCTGCTGTTGACATTTTTTTTTAATAATTTCATCCTAAGAGGGGTGGGGGAATAAAAATAACAATATTTAAAAATGAAACCCCAATGAATATTTACAATGAATACAATTTATAGACAAGAAACTAAACAAAATGAAAGCTCATCAGAACAATTACTATGAAAATATTTATAGACGCTGCACAGAGAAGATATATTACAACTGTGGAAAAGTGACTGAATCTGAGATAACAGGTCAAGACTACAAATTCTTTGGATTTTATCAAGAATCTCTAAATACATAGCAGAAACACCAGACAAGATATGATGGCAATATTCAATGCATGGATGATAAAAAAATTTGTCTAGCATGACACAGTGAGCCCACTTTCCTAGTAGCAGACCTAGCAATTGATTCAATATAATCTTCCCACTTCATGTCAGTGAAAAATGTTAACATAAGAGAAGGCACAATGTGTCACTCTCCTGGAGGTTAGCATCAGCTATGGTGATAGAAAGTAAAAAAGGTTCTGGAAGATGATGAAAAGAAAGAGTTCCACATTTGCTTTCCAACCAGGAGACAAAATTTATCATAGTTGAATAATCAGGAAGGTGTCTTTTTGATGTTATAAGCCTGGGGAGATGATGCCAGCATGCAGCACCTTTTGTAAAGAGCTTGAAAACTATATCAAGCCTTGTGAGTAAAATTGGGTAGAAGCAACTATTTGGGAGCCGTAAATGGTTGTACTAGCATAAAGTCACAAGACAGATAATGCACTCTCTTTTAGAAACTGTAACTAAGGTCCAATTAGTATGGTTGCAGTATAAACTACAGGTAAGCTCTGTAGGTGTTGAACAAACACAAATGTGCCTGAACAAACGTTTGCAATAGGGATTAACTAGCTGTCCTCGTAGATGGGCATACTCGGATGCAAGCGGCCACACACACACACACATATTTTACATGTGTATATACATTTTTTGAGACACCATGACGTGTCATCTCTACTGTTTATGTTATAAACTAACACTGCTATTTCTAAACCAGTCTCCACATGTTCTACTTGGACAATCATGGCACTGTGCAACTTTCTACCATTTGTAACTTTTAGCAATGCTGTTCTTTTAACTATCCCTCTGACATCTATTTACACAATCTTGTTTGGTGGGTTACATTCTGTTGCCTTCATAAGTTTAGCTTAAACTGATCATAAAAACTCACACTGTAAAGTACATGAAAATGGACTGTTTTGAAAAAACATTACAGTTGCTGTGTTGCCTTTCATATTTTATTTGTAACAATGACAATAGAAGCATTTATAAAAAATGCCAGTTGTGTATATACAAACATTTTTTTCATTATTCAACATTAAATGCTAGATTATTTTTCATTATTCAACATTAAATGCTAGATTATTTTTCATTATTCAACATTAAATGCTAGATTATTTTTCATTATTCAACATTAAATGCTAGATTATTTTTCATTATTCAACATTAAATGCTAGATTATTTTTCATTATTCAACATTAAATGCTAGATTATTTTTCATTATTCAACATTAAATGCTAGATTATTCTGATAGAAAATTTTAAAACCATTTTTCTATTTTCTACTTCTGTTCTTGTCTGTTTAACTAAAAGAATAAAGATTCATGCAAGCTGTTGAGATTTTTCATGTGATTTCAAATACCTTTTTGTGACATTTATTTTGGCCTTTTCTACAGTAGTAATTAGGCTAAAAGGGAGCATTATATAAGAACAGTTAATGTGCTGTTGGTTAAGACAAAAAAAAAAAAGCATATTTTTAACATGAAATTAATTTTCAACACAAACCAAATTCAATTGTAATTAACCAAAGAAAGCAAATATAAAAGAAGTTGCATTATTTACATTATTCTGACTATTATCCTCATCTTCATTGCCATATAACAGTCAGAGTACATAATACCTCATCTCAGAGATATAGACAGATATAAAAGAACTCATTTTACAAAACATTACAATCCCACTTACCTTTTTATTGGACCAAAATAATTCACCATCGTTTTTGTTATTCATTTTCAGGCATTTGGAAAAGTAAAGAGGATTTGTTAAATCTTCAAGGCTGCGACCAAGTATTTGCACCACAAGAAAAATGGTGCAAATACAAGACTGTCTTTCGTACGTGGGAAAGAGCAGTCAACAGATCGAAGAAATGGTATTTATAGCAGTTGCAAAATAAATTGAGTTTCCACTGGAATTTTGAAAAGATGTGATTAAATAAAAAACTGTACATAAAGTGTTTAGTGCCTATTTTTTTAGAATTTTATATTGATAAAAAAAAAGTTTTTGAATGTATCACTGACTTATGTATTTTTTTTTTTTGCTATTTAATTAAGCTTTATATATATATATATATATATATAAAGAGAGAGACTAAACTTAGGTAACCGTGTACAGAATCAATTCATGAAGGACAACTATTGACAATTCAAAGCCTATTTTTTTTATTTAAAAAAAAAAAAAACAAAAAAAAAAAACATGAAAATTTCAAATTGTATATATTATGGATTTTGAAAATTGTATCTCAGTTTCAATTTCTACTCTGTGAATGTAAGGCAAGAACCTGATATTTACTTCCAATCTATGTTTATATTCTTCCTTGAATGGAATCTTACTTTATGATTTTGAATTCATCCATTAAGCATATGTTCTTGCAAACTCCCACATAATGCTTATGCTGACATTAAATTCTTTTATTTTGAATTTAAACGTGTTAATTTTTTTTTCTTTTTGTTCTGAAACTTACCAAACAATTTTAGTTAAAAAAAAAAAAAAAAAAAAAACACACACACAAAAGCATTGCTTTGTTCATTTAAATGATGCTAAGTTAACAGTCAAAAATAAAATGGAACTGTCTGAAGGAATTCTTGATTAAATAATGTTGGTTTAAGGTTTTTTCTTGAACAAAATTTGGATAGAAATTTTATATATAATTTAATAATTGTGTATTTAGGTAACAATCCCTCTTTTATACAAGTTTCATTGTAGATGACTGATAAAGCACTGGGATTGAGCTTTTTATTAAGTTTTCATGCATTTGTACAAGTCCAGAAAAGAAAATCCATGTATAAATGCAAGAAAAATTTAATAAAAAGCATAATCGCAGTATCAGTCATCTGCAAGAAAACTCGTGTATCTGTATATGTTTTAAGGTATGCTATATTTATGGGTAAAAGTGCTCAATATCAGGGATAGAGTATATGTAAAATATATATAGCATGAAGATTGCGTTCAAGCATAAAACAGACAAAGGTCAACACTAAGCGGCAACAGTGTCCACTTTATTTATTTATTTATATATATATATATATATATATATATATATATATAAGCCTTAGAGCGGGTAGAATGGAGATCAATGTGTTTTTAGCAGTTTTCAATCTGCTTGTCAGAATCATCTTCAAAAAGTGAGAGCAAGATCTAAAAGGTCAGCCAATCTAACAATGATCTCATCTCACAATCTTCACTCTTGCTCCATATGTGGCCTCCTTTGTAAATCACTAGCGTGTCTTAAATGCCACTTAAGATTATCGCACAAAATTTCATAACTGAATCAATTAAGCTGTCAGATCCTCGTATGTTGAAACCGATGAGAGAGTCCATTATTATTATTATTATATAAAATATAAAAACTCAATCATAGCTCTTAATGTTTTAGAACATTTCATTAAATGTCAATAAGCAACAAAGTAGGTAAACAAATTTTAGCCCAAACTACAGCCTTAATGTTTAAGAAATAGTCAGAATTTATTCTTGTTATTGTATATTTCACTTTGAAAGAAAATACAAATTTTATCAAAATAATTCAGATCAGAAAATTAAATGCATTTTTTTAGTGAATCCCATTAACATTTACAATAATTTTGTTAAGCTCATTTTCAATTAGTTCATATTTTTAATTTTAAAAATTTCTAGATTTAATGAGCATTTGATTTCAGCATTTTTCATAGGATTTACAAAATAATACTATTCTACATAAAATGTTTTATGTTGATTTATTTTTTTCATTCTACAAAAATAGAATAATACAAAGCTAGCATACTTTTCTATAAAAAAATAAGACATGGTTTTATTTATTATGGAATAATTCTGCAAAAAGGCAAGTATCAAATGCGGAAATAGATTCATGAAAAATAAACCTTCACTTTGACTTATATCAATTTTAATGATTTTGAAAGATGTTTGCATGAAAATTAATTTTCAGTAGCAACAAAAATACAAAGAAAATTGTAATACCAACCTCAATTTTCTTTGTTCAGATCTTCTTTTGGAAATCACTTAAAGAAAAAAAAAAAGAAAAAATTGTTAAGTCGGCATCACTTTCTTTTACAAAACAAACTTAATTAATCTGAATTTCAAGAATACGTATTTGAAATAAAATTTCTAAAAACTCTTGTCCATGTGTAAATTAACAGTAAAAATGAAAACAAAATCAAACAATTTCTTGTATCTTTGAATGCAAATATGTAACATAATCTTTAACCTAAATAAATAATTCTTTATTCTCTTTCAATTTTCTATCATTAATATTTTTTGATGTAATATAGGATGCCATAAACAGTCATTGATACAGACTTAATTTTAATTTTTTGCTAATACACTTAGGACCTTGGGAAAGATGTGACTCCACTTCCATATTACTATATATCTTCATAAAATATCCAGTCACCTGCATGCCATGACAGTGGGCGAGTCATCACTTGGGTAAACCACTCCCCTGTAACTAGTTTACCCGCCAAGTTATTAACTTCACTCAACCATAGGAGGATCAATAAAAAAAAAAAAAATATGATGGAAAAGAGAATAGTGGCAACCTATTTTGTGAAGCGAGAGAGGAAAAAAAAAAATAGTACAAGGGAAGTAATTTTGCTAAGAAAGACAATCCATACTTTAAGTTCTTGAGAATATGAAAAAATTTGAACTTTAAGATAGAGAAGCAACTTGTGCAGACGTTCCATATTTTTGATCTCCTTTCAACAAATTTTTTTTCAGTTCTATGCTTACGTATATTTTAGCAAAAAAAGAAAGAAGTTCAGCAAATTAAAATTTGCTTATGTTTGGGAATTAAATTGTTGATCACAAAAGTTAGCACCATTTTATTTTTCTAAAATAGCTGCTACTCAAAGCAAAAAAAAAAAAAAAAATTGCTATTTTGTGATCCCAAAAGTATGTGGTAAGAATTATATACCATGGGACAGAAAGCATTGATTTTTTTAAAACTATTTTAGATTTATAGCTTTTATGTAATAGCCTGCTTGGTTCATTCTCTCTTTCATTTCATTTAATTATTAAAAGGAATAACCTTAAATATTTTAAGAGAGGGACATTTAAATTTTTAGCAGTTTGATTATTTCAACATAGCACAATACTACGGACACTGATATAGAAAGGAGACAGGTAGTTTTGTCTTGATCTCGTGCTTTTGTTTAATAGACCAGCGGATAGTCCCTTTTGAAGTTTGGTCTTCTAAGCATATCCAATTTAACACAAAAAAAGGGATTTTTTGAGATCAAATGGCAACAAAACTGAAAAGAGAGTATATCAGATTTGTGGTCTATATTAACAGTCAGGCTTAGGATCAGGGATCATTCTAATTCAGTAGACATGTCTGTTGAGTGGTTCCATTTGATATTGCCGCCTACCATGTCTAGATGAATAAATGGGCAAGGAGATGGTGGGATGGGGGGAGATCTGACATAGCAGAATTTGTCCCAAGTATCAGCCACCCACCCAGGCAAACAGGTGAAGCCCTGAATAAAACATCTACATATGAAAAATAGGGTTTGCATTCTGATTCTTCAAAGTTGTTTTTTGTCTTCCATTGTTACCCTGTGAGCACACCCTTCCCCAGTTTTGTACACTGAGATTGAGAATTGGAATGCAATGCAGAGTAATCATTAGCAGGTCAGTGGAAAGCTTAGGTGAGGGTCATGTATGTTTACAATAAAAACATTTGTATATTTCACAAGTTTCAAAGCTAGCCCTGATACGTTTCAGAATTTGAAAGAATATCTATTACTCAGTTTAAATCCAAAACAGCCTTATACTCAACTTGATTCAGTGACTTGGTTTTCTTCTTTATATAATTGTTGCAGTTAAAGATGAAATATTGTTTAGTAAATACACATATTTGAGTATATATTCTTTAAAAAAAAAAAAAATGGTGTGGTGGGGTGAACTTAATGGCTACTGGCCTAGAGATGGAAAAGTTCTAAAGAAAATGTGCATCCAGAAAGAAATCAAATCTGTGTGCCAGTTTTCGATTAGGAAAACCACTTTTAACAATTCAGCTACTAGAAACCATCATGGCAATACAAGAGTCAATTACCTTATTTAACAAATGATCTGTCTAGGTCTGTATCTGCTGAAAAGAAAGTAAATTTTAAGCATTTAATGAATTTTTTAAAACAAGATTACTTAAAATTATTTACATATTGGATGCAAAAATGAACCAAAATTTGCAAATATAGTGGGGAAAATCATACAAATTTGATTTGTCAGAGGGAAAATTTCCTACATAAGATTTCTTGATCTCTTGGCTAGTTGGCATTAATTTCACATTAAAAAAGAGTTTCAGATGAAGATTCACTAATTTCTTAAAAGTGACCGATATGTTAAATGCTTCTGAAGGCTATTAATTATACATGTATCATGGCACCAAACAAAAATATAAAGACTTATCTAAATGTTTACTAGTAAATTTCCTTTTGCAATGATTTACTGTGATTCACACTAAAGTTTAATTTTTCAGCTACTTTTGTAATTAAGTGAAAAAGGAAAATGTGGCATATTGTTCAAAGAAAAAAAACTTCATTGAAGTTATTGTCTATTTCTGCAAACATTGGCAATATATCTTAGTGTTTTATCACTTTAAACGTTATCTTTAGTGGATAGTCATATTTAAGTCAATGATTCATTTATTTATTAAACAGTACATTTATTTATTTTTGTCTACTGGCCTGGATATTTGAGATATTTTATTAAAGAAAAATCCAGCAGGATTCGAACCTGTGTCCCCTCCTGGGCAGAGGGAAACTTTGTTAAATCCAAAACGTTTTAACCAACTTGTCAAAAAGAAATCTTTGCATTTAAATGAATTCTTTCATATTTTGCTTAGTTTTGTATGCAAATGTAAACAAAGCAATTTCTAAAGTAGTAATAGATA